TGTAACATACAGAGTTTGAAGACTAACAAAGCGCAGGCGCAGTGTTCAGTGGAATTATGTCGAATTGGATGGACAGAGCGGGTCCTTCCACACCGGTGGCCGAGCGGCGACCACTTGTGCTGGCTGTGAGGGTGCCCAGGAGCTATGGAAGCCTCTTCCCTCATTACAAGTTCGTGAGGGACACCCTCAGTGAAACGTCGCATCGACCTGAGGTACTTTTGTGTGGTCTTCGAATCGATAAGCAAAACTTACGAATATCGGTCAAAGAAAGGCGACTTTCTTTGGACAAAGAACGGTACTTTAAAGATTTAATGCCTTATGACGAACAAACGTTAATTCTTCGTAATCAAATCAACTTAATCTGAGTGGCATTTTAAATAATGCTTAGCACTTTGATGCTTATCCCTTTCTTCCTCCTAGTCCCTTCGCCAAATACATATTTTAAACAAAATAAATGTAAATTAAGCCTCTTCATCATAAGTGTAAAGGAGCCTTTAAAACAAACTTCCTCTTGCCCGCACGATACCATGTTCTTTGTATGTGATCCAACAATAAAAGAAATATGTACAAAATTCAGGTTTTGGATCCAACACGCATGTTGTGTTGACCTTCCGAACTTTTACAAGGTTAAAGGCTCTGCAATTAATCATATTTTTTACTATGAAATTAAGAAGTTCCTCAGCAACCTCCTTCCTCAGTACCTGTAGTAAAAAATAAGTATGTTTTTTTTTGTGTTTTTTACAATTTAGTTTATACGGATTGTAAATGTCATCCACATTTTTCAGGCATATATGTAGCTGTATTTTTATTAAATTTTGTTTGTAATTTGGAAACAACTTTAAAATGGGTTAGAACCGTATTTTTCTTTTACATTGAATTGAATGGAGTTGTTCACGGTGATTTGTATTCCGCCATCATGGATTTATAGTTTATGACACAATTAGGATGCCGTTTGCCCCTTTATGGCGGCATCCCGGTGCAATATAGGGTAAAAATGTGTACTAAATCATATGGGCGTATTGCTTACAACAAATACCCGGATAATGCTTAGTGCTTGTGGTTTACTTTTCTTTCTGCGCATATCATTCATCGCGTTGAGAAACCCTCTGGCATATGTCCATAGAATGGCCACGTTTTGCATTGTTAGAAAGGCAGAGCTGCAATTAATAAATGACTGGCCAAGATGCTGCTCTTTGACTCCTTCGCGAAACTTTCTTCTAATTTATACTTGTACTGACTTTTGTCTGTCACACAAAGAATATCGCAAGCGTGCCTCCCTTTTCAAATACAGGGATAAAACTATTCTTAAGTTTTTCCCTGGGTCTAACTATCTCTCTCATCTAAATCGGTTCAGTGGTTTTAAGCGTGAAACGGTAACAAACAGACAAAGTAACTTTAGCATTAATAATATTAGTGATATTAGTGTGTATTGCACTAAAAATATACACTAACGAGAAGCAATTTAATCTCCTCAAAACATAAAAAATAAGAATCCAATAACCGCTATCCAAAGAGTTCAACGTATTTGACGGCATTTACGAACTGTACTGTATTTGAACATTTGTGTATCACTTTATCTGTAAATGATAATATGTGAACACATTAAATATACATCTGCCCGAAGGAAGTGATAACGTGGCGTTAGTAACGTATACGGTACTTATTTGTTTTTTTTATTAAATCACCGTTATTTTTGTCTTGCAACCAGTTTAGTTTTTTTCTAATAAAAGTTAATACCACTCTAATGGGTTTCTTAGAATATTTTCTATTGTGGTTATGAATTACTAGTAACCTGCCCTTGCTTCGTCGTCTATAACCACATATTTATAATAATTAGTTTTTCTACTTATTGGTATTAGAATTAACAATAATCGTTTCTCAACTCATGAAACAAGCCTTGTAAACGTTGATCCAACATAAGAGACATCCTGTATAACATGGTGGAAATGCCACATCGCGCAGTCGCCATGCCTTGGCTGTAACACTGATTGGCAGGCAGCTAACAGATTGAATGCTGAAAGCTCGTCCCCAAATAGCTATGAATGTCATCTCCGCTTCATTCAGCACTCGTTTCCGCCTATAAATTAGTCCACTATAATTACATACTAGACATTACCGCTACACAAACGGTAATTGCTTAAGAAATTATGTGACACAGGGTTTACATGCTCTTAACTTTTTAAATATTTTCTCGATATCAAAATATTTTAGAATTGAGTTTTTTTAAACTATACTTTTTAAAACACGTACGGATGTTTTTCATCCTATTTTTACTAGTATATTTTTATAATTTGAAAAAAGGTTAAGTTTGTCATTAGTGGAAAAATAATAGAAAATAGTGTTTTCTCAACCCTTATTCGTTATCTATTTCCTTTCCAACAAAATTGGTTTTTGACTATCGCAAAATCACTCTATTATTATGACGGAACAATGACGTAAATCCAATTAATGGATGTAAAATAAATAAAAATACTTTGCTTCAATTTAATGCTTCTTACTGATTAAACTTAACCTTTAACTATGGACGTCGGGTCTCAGAGGCCCACCCCCCTTTCCAATTTCTCGGTTTAAACACCTTCCCGCCACGTGCTGCTCTCGACCATCTCAGTAGCTTCAGTTTTAACTGTGTTTGGACCAAGGAGGCATAAAATCGCGTCTTCCGGCACTTATTACGTGAGTAATAACCATCCAAAGTTTTGTCCGGGCCTGGGAGACCCGATGACTATAATTTCCATACAAACATACTTGTATGGATGTGACTGGTCAACTATATTTTTTTTGTATCATATTATTATAATATTAAGTAAATTGTTCTAGTTTAAGAATACATAATGGCAGAAAGTATCTGAGTACATTAGCTATATTATTAGCCCAACTATCTAAAGAGCATTTCAGGAGTAAGGTATTTCTTGTAAACGATACTTCTTTTGAGTTTAGATGTCTTAGAATTCACCATTGCTGCAGATTCCAATTCTAAATGGTGTACATTTTGCCTATCAAAGCTCTCAAAGAAAGATAACACATGCCTGCAGAGATAATTTGTCTCAAGTGTTCTAGGCTACTGTGTATAATTTTTGAAACTTTAACCCTTGTCAAAATTTTTATTTTATGTCCTTCAGAAATTTTGTTCATGTTTTTAAGTTAAATGGTTATTAATTAGCAAGGAAAAATATATTACTATTATTTATTAATAGTCTACTGTAATCAAGGAGCCTATATGTGATGGCAAGTCAATTAACACTGAAAAACGTCTAAGTTTTTAAAATTTGCAAAAAAAAATTAAATGATGGTTCAAATTTGATTACTTTTACTACTAAATCCTTTATTAATAGTTATTAGATATATATCAACTCTTTAATAAATTCAAATTGATTCAGATATGAAAATAAGAAGAATTTTAGATAGGGGTCTGTGAGACCCGACGTCCATGGGAGTGTGATTATTTTTTCACGTCCATAGTTAAAGGTTAACGAGCGTAAAATAATAGAAAGGTAATTAAAAACTAAAAATATTCTAATATGCCTATGTAAACCAAACCCACTTGCGATGCATGCGCATGCATGACCTTTAGTGCAGGAATACCAGCCGGCTGTGTACACCATAAAATAACGTTTATAATCAGTTCTAAGTGCTAACGGTAAACTTTATTATCATCTCCCACTTTTACGGTGTTTAAATTATGGTGTAATGGTCGTACGTAATTTAACCAGTATTTACCTTTGTTTGTGTAAGATTTAATTGATCCAATATGTATCTAGCGCTAAGCTTTGGCTAAACACTGTGGTTATAAGAGCGTAAGGACAGTAGTCGCCGCAGTTAGTTCGAAAAGCGATAGGTATTATTAAAGATCGTGCGTAAATGAGCAAATCTCATGTTATCTCGAAATGTTGCGCGCTGCATCGTTTATAAGGACATACGGGCAGGTACGATGTCGTTTCCAAGTAGGTTATGTGTATTGTGCAGTTATTATAAAGTAGGCTGGCGTGTGCCTTTGTGCTCGAGTGGGCCTGGGCACTGCCCGCGGGCCTGGCTGGGTGCGATCCTGTAACACCGTTACTCTTTTTGCTTTGCTTTCGTTGCGGATCTTCACCTTAAGAACTTTTTGCCGTTTCCAATGATAGATTGCTAGACCGGTTGATGTGTAATTCTGATGAATAGGAGATGGATACAAAAAGACACATAACTTACTAACCGCTTTGTTCATTCGCTTTTGTGTAATATTTAGTTAGATATATGATAATATCGGTTAGCAACAAAATAAATAATTTACTTACGTATTAGACACGTAATAATAGGCTTAAACCATGTTAAAAATTTAAATAGATGATGAATATTGTAATTTTTGTAACCTTTTTTTTAATCAAAAATGAATGAAATAAATGTGTATCTATTGTAAAGTAATAATATAATATCAATAGCAGCTGCGCCATTGTGGTAACTAGCTCAATATTATGAATATTTATATATTATCAACGTCATTCGAAGAAATTATTCACAGAAAAAAATGACAAAGAGTTAATACTTACCTAATTATTGAATTTTTTTTTTTAAATTTATTAAAATATTCATAATATTACTTATTATGAATTTTTATCTAACACCAAATTGTAATGTTTATATATAACTTAAAAACCGCTTATCTATACTTTTTATTTTTATCGTCTAATTAATTATAACGTGATTAAAAAAAAGTTAATTATATCTTTTTTTTATCAACGCACTTCAGAATCCCTGATGTCAGCTCGGGTAACTTGGTTAGGTTCTTGCGGTAAAAAATCCAATGTGAGTTAAAAGACATAATATAGTAATGTGTGATCAACGGCGCGGGGAGGGCCCAGAGTGCCGGCCGGTGCAGCGCCCGCGCACTGCCCGGCCGGCCTCCGCGCGACATGCTGCCTCCAGAGCGATCCAACCGCACCGCCTCCGCGATACTCAAACGCCTCACAGCGCGCACCTACAGCACCTACTCCCTAGTACGTATCGCCACCAGCACTCAGCACCGGCCGCGTTCATTCATAGCCGCCGCCCTCCGCGCGCCGCCCGCCCTTTCCCACGCCGCGCGCTGCAAATAGTAACCGCCCAGCGTGGGCCGCGTCGTTCCGCTCGTAACTCCGCTTAGTCACCACGCTCGGAAATCTATCACGAGACGCCGCGGAGTACGCTCGCCTCGCCGCTTACTATGCGGGAGATCGCGACATGTCCCTCCCGCCCCAACTGCCGACCTATTCTAACAGTGATAAAGAATATGTGCACATACGATGCCTCATCGCGAACATTCACAAGCCGAGGAACGTGTCGCGGCCGCCGTCGGCGTCCATCGACAAGGGTGCACCGTTGGAGGTGGTCCGGGAGTCGCCGACTTCTTCGGACACGGAACGGAGTGGTTCGATTTCGGATAGATCGGACGATCGACTATCTCTAGATGAGCTTGCGCCAACGCAGCGGGCGAAGAGTAACAGCTTCGCGGGGTCGATGTTGACGCCTCCTCCTTTGCACCAGAAGAAGCGGCGGCCGTCGTTCCTGCACATCGGCGGAGCGGCGGCGCCGGGCCCCATGTCGGCGGGCCCGCACTTCACCGTGCCCAAGTTCACGCTGACGGCGCCCCCGGGGGAGCAGCACCGGCGCCTCAGCCATGGCTTCGCAGCCTTCCATGGATTCGCCCTCCGTCGACATTCTAATACGGTCTGCGCAAGGATGATTTGCAAGTGTGAACGCGTTTTCGTTTTATTCTACCTCAACAGTAGTGAGTGTGTGTTAATTAATAACAGCATGTCGGAAGATAATTTAAAAAATTGCTTCTAACTTTGTGTCGTGAAAGCATGTCGATTCTTTCATATTTAAAAAGATATTAATACAAGGTTCCTTACAAACAGGGCCATTAGTGCAACTTAATGTTTGGAATAGATTATTTGAACACAGGCACGTAGGCAAGGTAATTAATCAAATTATCCACTTAATTTTGTAGCACCTAATTATGGTGGCAATTAATAAGTACCACTATAGTTTGAAAACAATACTTATTTACAATAACATTTCTATTAATTGATAGATATTTGTTTACACCGAAACTTATCTCACTCAGTAATAACATTTTTAATTAAATATTCACTTACATGACTTCCTTCCTACAATAATTCCGCCTGAGATGGTAAAAATTAGCTTAAGTCACGAATAACACTTATCTCTTAAATGTGTAATGACATACACGATGAGCATTTCTATTCTTAAAAGAATATTTTTATTTCTTTTAAGTCCAATAAAGGTGTTCAGTTAGGTACTAAACTGATGCGTTAATGTTTATTCATGCATTTTTTTAGTAAAATATTTTTTTCATCTATAAGTGTTAAAGGGACATAAAGTTTCATTATCATACCATATTGACGATGTGACAAAGAATATGTTTGCTTGCAATTTATTTGTACACGTCACGCCTTTACTCATTATAGGTAGTGTCAAATAATATTCTGCAAGTAATTATGGTATATGCCAAAAACCCAAAAACACTATAGTTACACAAATAGTTATGTGTAGTTGTGGATGTGATAAAGTTACGTAAATGAAAATAATTTTGTTTACAATTCCGCGACTGTTTTCGTAGTTTCAAGTTAAACTCGTTGGCAATGCAAGAGATATTATTCAACGGGAATGCAATTTCAGGATTACAATAGAAAGCTATTTTTTTTACTAATGTCTGCCTGCAGTTTTCGGTTTTGACGATTTTCCGAGCATTTTTCCAAGTTTTCTCTCCACAAAACCTTTCCGGGTTTCAGCGAATATTTGCAAAAGCCAATCCGAACGGGTTTAGTCTTTATTCAAGTCGCTTAGCAATAATACATTTAACGATTTCATTAATTTTTCATTGATTCGATGTTTTTTTAATTTGGTTGATGAAGACGAATAAATGACGTCCACTGCTGGACAAAGGCCTCCTCCAAGGTTTTCCACAATGCACGGTCCTGCGCTGCCCTCATCCAGGCTCTTCCCGCGACCTTTACCAGATAGTCGGTCCACCTAGTAGGAGGCCTGCCCACGCTACGTCTTAAACGAATAAAGACGAATAAAACGAAAGGTAACAGACAAATGAAATGATTACCAGTTCGGTGATTGAAATTAGAGCTAAAAATACAATAAATAGCTGAATTGCAGCTTATCAGCACATTAGTCAGACATTGTTATTGGAATTGAGTCTAAATTTGGTGCGGTCTAGACTTTCTTCCTAACACATTTTGTTGTTTACTTATTGGGCTACCTTGTGATATCATCCGTTATCACTATATCTTTGTTCATTATGTACTGAACTGCGTCAAGTGAACGTTATTACAAAGCCAGTCTCCAATACTGACATACGTATTTTGTGAATCTTCTTTTTTTAATTAATTTGCTAGTGCAGTCACGTGTAGTGTTCACGATGCTGCGCTGGAGTTTGAATTTGAGCGAGGTTAGAAATAATTTAAAAATTAATATATTTTTTACTAATTTCAATTAATAAAATCTGTGGTATTTATATTGTGTTGTGTCTAAATATTGTGGCATTTTACAAGCAGTGACCGGCTTACACGTTACACTTAATTTGCTTGCGTGAATACAATAAGTATGGCAGAAGAAAAAATAAGTAATTTGCTTAACTGCGTGCTTCCGTGATATCTATTAGTTGATATTTTGCTCTCTCTCTCTACTACTCCAACTAATTACTACTTTCTGACTCTGTTATTAATATTCCACTTTCAAGTTACTTAATTTTTATTTCATTCTTAAATTCTGAGAGACTGGAGCCCTCATTATAAAAGGTAGAACTTAAGGAAAAACTTTTAACGAATTTCTATTTAGTAATGTAAACATATTAATCATCAAATCTGGTTATATGACGTAGTAGATGTTGATATTTTTTATGTCTATAAATTAATGCATTTAAGTTTTAGGAATACCATTTATTAAACATAGCCTTGAAAGTTGTTTGTTCCCCTTTTTATTGTAAAAGATTATAGCAATAATTTGTGTAAATCATTTCGTATTGATTAACATAACTTCTTTTGGTATATATTACCAACTTTATCTGTAGTTAAACAGATCACACAATAGTTTCGTGAAAACAACTCGTCTCCTTCAAAAATAGCTAAACGAATTCACCATGTTTATTCATTCAACATCTGAATTTATAATGTACCTGCTTCAGGTAAACTGAATTTTAAGTAACATTTTTGATTCGGTCAATTCGATCAGTCTTGAAGAATCGTCCAAAACAATCATTTGATATGTTTTGATTTAAAAGTAATTTCCTCTAACAAAATAGTAGTGTGTGTTTTTTGACACCCACTAGGAGTCGTGCTGATGAGGTGGTATCTCTCAGATCCTTCCAACAATCCCGGCGAAAGTCCTATTGTATTACTGCTAGGCAAAAGGTTCTCCCAAACCCTGAGAGTACTAATATATCTCTCAGATCCTTTCAATAATCCCGGTGAAAATTGTACTGTGTTAGTGTTAGGCAAATGTCTCTCAAATGCCACTGTCCTGTAGAAAATTGTTGTGACGTTCCGCGTGTGACCAAATCCTCCGTTCGCCTCTGGTAAAGGAGTCTTATTTGGGTTATTGACCTGCTGATGATGACGTCACGATTGTCCGCAGAGCCTCCACCGGAGCGAGTCGATGGTGTCTCTGGCGTGCTTCAAGACGCTGTCGCAGCTGGTGGCCAACGACACCGCCGCAGAACTGCAGCAGTACCTCGCCAACAACAAGAACATCAACATCGACGACAGAGATGAGGTATGTGACCTGTGTATATTTTTTTATGTATGACAAGGCAGATATTTGACCGCAATCGTACCCGATGTTAAGTGAGAGGATGGTACATATCTGCCCTGTAAGTGCCTATTCACTCTCGCCCGGATTATAGTGTTCAGGAAAGACAGCAGCAGGCAGCAAATTCCAGTCCCTAGCTGTTCGCATTATAAAAGTTATCGAAACACTTAGTGCGAGCTGGTGGAATGTCGACAATGTAGGGATGGTACGCTAACCTGCGTCTGATTTCCCGGTGATGGAAGGGGGCTGGTGGAATTAGCTCGTATAATTCCTTCGCACATTCTCCGGTGTAATTTGAAAGTGAGTTGAGTTGAAAGATGATAATATGATGAAGGAGATATCACTAGTTAGTAGATGATGGAGATAAGTACCAGTCTTCTTCTCCTATTACCTGGGTTTAACAACTAAGCTAGAGATATAGGTATACTTAGTAAAAGGATCCTTTTACGTCAGTTTTCGCGTTTATTGATCGAAAGCAATTAAAAGTTTATGAAAAGTAACTGGATCTTCTAGTCTAAAATAACGCTGATTTATGTTTGATTGTGCCTTGAAATTAATGCTTTATTAAGTTAACTACGCTGTGTAAATAATTATACTGGTCGCAACGTTATTGAATATCGTTGTGGTTCGTACTTCGGAGGGCTCGTAAAAAACCGTCTCTCTGATTGAGCCATGTGAGACGCCTCATTAGGTATTTACATCAGAATTTGAACAGAACAGATAGAGGAAGATATGACAACAAGACAATTGTTTATTTTCTTCGGCAACATAATTTATTTTATTTTATTACAAAGTTATGCTTATCCTACTAATATTATAAATGCGAAAGTTTGGATGTCCGGATGTTTGTTACTCTTTCACGCAAAAACTACTGAACGGATTTTGATGAAACTTTACAGTATTATTGTTTATAACCCAGAATAACATAAAGGCTATAATTTACGACGATCTATGACAAACTGAATTTCACGCGGGTGAAGCCGCGGGCAACAGCTAGTAATCTTTACATTTCTTATGTATAAATAAAGCCCATAATGCAATACGGAAAGAAATGGCAAATACACTCATATCATGTTTGTTATTTGATAACAATTTTAAAATAATATTTATAGTTTATTGTAGTCTTTTTGTAATCTTTACAATGTATTACATCAGTAATATTTTTTTAAAACAATATAATGGATGTGAATTTGTTATTATTTAAACGCAATTTTTCAATGCGCACAACTTGATCCATGAATTCATGAAAAAGTTAATTTAAGGTAAACAAACTCGATTCTATATTATGATAAAAACAAAATTATATGAGTAATATTAATGACCCAGTGGTGTCGACGCTAATCTAGTAGTCACTGTAATATACAAACATAATAATCGAACCGCTTATCTTATCGCTTTTGATTGCGCCGCGATACGTATACTTATTGTGACGTATACGTCACCGACATGTTTTTTATTTCTGTTATAATTTCTGAACCTAACATTCTTTATTCATTAAAAGTTTAGGTTGACTGTCAATTAAATCTACTAACGACTTTTTAAATGATACTAAAATAGTTCTGTTTCTACTATCGTTACAATTTAAAAAAGATGATATAACATCCGTTATTGTTTTAACTACTAATATGTTATCTTATTTCATTAAGTTTGCTACGAACATATTATTATAAGTGTTGACTAGGTAGTATAATAGTATTGTCAAAAAGGCAAACTGAACTCTGCTTCAGTTTTAGCGTAACTTTCTTTACTCCTAAACAAGCATGATAGCGAATAACCTGTCATCCATGTCGTCTTTAAATCATTTTGTGTTGAATGCTCCCGTAATCAAGAGTTCAATAAATTATTTCATTAATTAATTAATTACCGTGGCTATTGGTAATTAAACTAGCAATTATTATTGTCACAGAATGGCACAACAGCGCTTATGCTCGCGTGTGAGGGTGGGCACGCGGCGGCCGCGCGCTCGCTCCTGGCAGCGGGCGCGGACGCGGGCGCGTGCGACGCCGACGGCTGGACGCCGCTAGCGTTTGCCGCGCGCGCCGGGCACGTGGCTGTGGCCAGGGACCTGCTGGACGCGGGGGCTCGAGTAGACCCCAGGGACTGTGTGAGTGTACTTCTGTGAATGCTACAACAGTGGTCATGGACGCGGGCGCGTGTGACGCCGACGGCTGGACGCCGCTAGCGTTCGCCGCGCGCGCCGGACACGTGGCTGTGGCCAGGGATCTGTTGGACGCGGGGGCTCGAGTAGACCCCAGGGACTGTGTGAGTGTACTTCTGTGAATACTACAACAGTGGTCATGGACGAGGGCGCGTGCGACGCCGACGGCTGGACGCCGCTAACGTTCGCCGCGCGCGCCGGACACGTCGCTGTGGCCAGAGACCTGCTGGACGCGGGGGCTCGAGTAGAGCCTAGGGACTGTGTAAGTATACTTATGTGAATACTACAGCAGCCGCCACGGCGAGTGAGACCCCGCTAGCGTTCGCCGCGCGCGCCGGACTCGTAGCTGTGGCCAGGGATCTGCTGGACGCGGGGGCTCGAGCAGACCCCAGGGACTGTGTGAGTGTACTTCTGTAAATACTACAAAAGCTTGGTCACGTGTCCACGCTGCTGCCAAGGCGCGAACGCGGACACGTGCGACGCCGACGGCTTGATGCCGCTAGCGTTCGTCGCGCGCTCCCGGCACCTTGCAGTAGCGAGAAACCTGCTGGATACGGGAGCATGTGTAGACCCCAGGGACTATGTGTAAGAGTACTACTCAGGGAACACTGNAGTGGTCATGGACGCGGGTGCGTGTGACGCCGACGGCTGGACGCCGCTAGCGTTCACCGTGCGCGCCGGACACGTGGCTGTGGCCAGGGATCTGCTGGACGCGGGAGCTCGAGTAGACCCCAAGGACTGTGTGAGTATACTTCTGTGAATACTACAACAGTGGTCATGGACGAGGGCGCGTGCGACGCCGACGGCTGGACGCCGCTAGCGTTCGCCGCGCGCGCCGGGCACGTGGCTGTGGCCAGGGACCTGCTGGACGCGGGGGCTCGAGTAGACCCCAGGGACTGTGTGAGTGTACTTCTGTGAATACTACAACAGTGGTCATGGACGAGGGCGCGTGCGACGCCGACGGCTGGACGCCGCTAGCGTTCGCCGCGCGCGCCGGGCACGTGGCTGTGGCCAGGGATCTGCTGGACGCGGGGGCTCGAGTAGACCCCAGGGACTGTGTGAGTGTACTTCTGTGAATACTACAACAGTGGTCATGGACGAGGGCGCGTGCGACGCCGCGCGCGCCGGACACGTCGCTGTGGCCAGAGACCTGCTGGACGCGGGGGCTCGAGTAGAGCCTAGGGACTGTGTAAGTATACTTATGTGAATACTACAGCAGCCGCCACGGCGAGTGAGACCCCGCTAGCGTTCGCCGTGCGCGCCGGACTCGTAGCTGTGGCCAAGGATCTGCTGGACGCGGGGGCTCCAGTAGACCCCAGGGACTGTGCGCCTGTACTTATGTGAATACTACAACAGTGGTCAAACAACGCACGTGTCCGCGTTCGCGCCTTGGCAGCCGCGCGGACACTTGCGCGGCTTGATGCCGCTAGCGTTCGTTGCGCGCTCCCGGCACCTTGCAGTAGCGAGAGACCTGCTGGATGTAGACCCCAGGGACTGTGTAAGTGTACTACTCAGGGAACACTGCAACAGCGGTTGCTTATTGTGTGAGTGGATCGCGGACGGCTAGATGCCGCTAGCGTTCGCCGCGCGTGCCGGACGCCTAGCCGTGGCCAGCCATCTACTGGACGCAGGAGCTTATGTAGACTCGAGGCCAAGGACGCATACTTAAGTGAAAACAAAAAGTTATCAGACCGGTACTGTCTAACTAAAAAGTTCCGAGAGATCTTACGGAATATCTGCCTTTTGCTGATCATTTCATCTTTTCGGTTTTAAGACTTGGCATCATTACGTATGAAGCGTATTATTATGTCCGAAACTTAAACCTCGCTCCACGTCCGCGCTCTCAGATTCGTCAGCGTAACGAAAACAACTAAATGCATTTTCACGGATGATTCTGGAGCTCCTAAATTCTAGCTATGGTCCAACTATAGATGATGAAGAACGCGTTGACACCATATTCTGGGAGCAACTCAAGTCTTATAGTATACTTCTAGGCCTTAGGTCAATTGGAAGCCATTATTCGGTTCTAACACATAAAAATAATCAAATTCAATTAAATTAACCGGTATTTTTATCATCAATATTTATTTGATATCACAAGAATGTCCAGATGGAGTTGGGTTAAAACCTGTTTACAAAATTGAACCTAAGACCGACACAGCTTAGGGGCTTGGCTGTTACAGGTCGTTTATACTATGCAATTTGTATGTATCTTTTGTCTTGCGTAACATAGCTGATTAAATTAAATTAAAATACTTGTTATAACGCAGTTATCATGCATTACTTTCGTACTCATTTTATAGTCTAGAGTAAATACAAAACAAACAAAAAGTCATCAAAAGCTTATTGCACATAACTTCCATTTTTATAAAAATACATATTGTGATAGCCGAAAATATAGGACAGTTGTTTACGTCGCTTTCATCGTATATTAATGTATTTATAACACACGCACGTTTGTTTTGTCTGCACTGACACCCAAAATGATGATCTCGCATTGTGGCATTTAAAAAATGTTCAAATTTTCAATTTGTCTTCTCGTAATTGTTGTTGTAATATGGAGGTGACACAGTAATATTGTACTGGTATTTAAAAAAACAATCATCTTGAAAGTTTGTGTGGATAGATGCATGTTGTTACTCTTTCACGCAAAAAAAATACAGAACAGATTTTGATGATACTTTACAGTATTATTGTTTATACATCAAAATAGCAATAAAATTATCACTTCACGGGATTTATTGCAACATTATTTATTTATTGTTGCAATAAATCCCGTGAAGTGATAATTTTATAGTAAAAANATCGTTATATAATATAGATGCAACATAATAGTTTAAAATATTAAAATAGCAATAAGCTACAGACTTTAATAGCAATATTTCTGGACAAACAACCAAATTTATAAATTGACAAGGTTTTTTACTGAAAAAACCGTTGTAATACTAATCTCGGATGCGTTAACGTAGGGCTGTGCGCATGCGCTTTAACTGACCCAAATGTTTATAATAGAGCAATGACCAAAACGTATTCTGGACTGTGTACTCAAAATTAGTATATTTATACTTGAGGTGGATCCTTGCCAAGATGTCACTGACATTCACAACGGCATATTCTGACACCTGATTAAACTTAACCATTATTTGGGTACACAATAAACAACTTATCGCAGCTGTTATACGTGAAACTGTATTTTAGGACAGCCATAGAGGATTTTTTTTTTATTCAATTGGTTTGCTCAACGTACAACATTTTAAATGTTGGTAATGATGATGACTCAAGTATGAGCTGGCACTCGAAACTAAATATTGAATTCATTCAACCAATCGCTGGATAATAAGCATTTTGTAATGCATTATTTGAATCAAGTTTTGGTGTCTTTTTACAATCCAAGCAATTTTTCTTTAATTTAAACAGCTTTTATTTGTAAAATAAATTCATGATAAGTGATTTGATAAAAAAAAACTCGACTGGTGGCTATGTAGTCAAATCAATCATACAGCATAGCACACAGCAACAACAACAAAAAAGTGTAAATATACTCACTCAGTATAGAATGCCAAAATAAAATTCTGAACTAGGTCGTTTGTTTATCTTTTTAATTAGGTCTAATATTGCGTAACCACCAGATGTGGGGGATAAGCGAAAATATGATGACAGCGGTGCGATGATGGACATCTTTAAAACTGAACTAAATTATGAGACCGTCCATTAACGTTGGCCTTGTAAATTGGAATGCTGTAATTATTATTTTCTGCTGCTTTATGCATCCAAACTATTTTAATAATATCTGAGAACGCTTCCACAATAAATCTATTTTATTCTAACAACGAAAATTCTTCAAATGTTACAGTCAATTTCATAACATTGTTCATCACCAAAAATTCAATAAAGCTGACTCAATAATGGATGAGGCGCACTCTCAATAGAAGAATATGACGTAGACAAGTAAAAAGTCTATAAATTATGCATTTGACCCCTATTAACATACGCGACAAAATATTTAGTAACACGTGATAAAAACCGGTCGAAAAATTCGCAACGGGTATCGCCACATTAATACGTCATCGCCGCGCTGCGCCGCGTATCGGTCGATCGTAACTTGTTTTCGTAAAAACCATAACAAAGTATATTATTACAGATTCATTCCGTGAAATACGCATGCGTTTCTTTTATTATGCGTTTTTAAATGCAGATTTCCTATACGCATGCATGCTAATAGTAATAAAAGTAAATAGTTTCATTGCATGCTCACGAGTAAGGGAAGCATTTATTTATGTTATTCCGAAAAAAAAAACACTGACCAATATTTTCTGTCAGTACTTTTACACCTACATGGTTAAACAATTGTACTTTCGGTGTCCTGGGTTTGATTCCTAGTTGAAACACGCACAAACTCCTTCGATTAGGACAATGCAGACAAGCTTTAATCAAGATTATTGCCGGACCTATAGCGGTAGAAGTCTGTGCACCAAAGTCTTCCAATCAATAAAGTTGATCAATCAATTGTTTCAATTATGGATATTTGAAACCGCGACCAAAATGCCGATTAATCAAACGCACAACGAAGTCAATACGAAACGAACGCGGGCGTTAGCCTCAAGTTCTTTTCGGCCATTTATTATGAAGTGAAAGCTGTTTGATAGCGATTTTAAGCACATTAATACTAGGAAAATGTTAATAAAATTTATTATCAATGTAGCGTTAAGACAAACACATATTTAAAGACGTTATAAAACAAACTGACCCGGCACGAACGGCTGGAGAGTTTAAATAATTTTATTCGCCAACACAAAATGTAACCATTCTTTCGATTCGAAATCTATTTTTAGGGGCTCTTTTGAAGCAAATACGCTCGCACTGAAACATTGCGCTGTATTTAAACTAGAGAACTTTATTATATGACGTACGAATTTCCATTTCAGGGTGGATGGACGCCTCTCATGTGGGCAGCGTACAAGGGACACGAGGAAGTGGTAGCGGTGCTTCTGGAGAAGGGAGCGGATGTTCACGCGCATGGAAACTATAATATTAAGTAAGGAACATATATTTTTATATCTTTTCTATAGTCTAGTTTTAAATCGGAACATGATTGACGAAATAATAAGGAAGGAATAACAGGCATTGCCGAATCTTCATTTAGATTTATCAGAATCGTGAGAAGTGACTGATCCAATCGCACAATTCATTTAATCCTACGAACTTATTTGTATTAATCATTCATGTATTCAAAAAGTGATAAAGACTTGTTGTTGATAATAAACCTTATCGAGTGTACTTAACTGAATTAAGCGCTTTCATATTACGTTCAGATTTAACTTAAGTTTATAACTATGCGTTCTCTGTAAAGTGACAATAAATAATTATTTATCTTATTCCAATTACTTACAATGTCTCCTTATCAGAGTGAACAATGAAGCAAAGAAAAGGGCACAAGCACAAGGGAACAAGATTGTGATATGTTTACAACCGTTTGTTTGCGGTTGTTGCTAACGTCATTTGATGAAATAAATTATGGCATGTCGTAGTCACATAACTTGCGAAGTTGCGAGATAATTTGTTATGGAAGTAACGGGTCTAAATTATAAATCACATAGATTATTAAGTTGAAGTATGAGTAATTGTGCACCTATATTAGATGTCTAGCACTTCATTTTAGATTAGCTGAAGAGTTAAAACGTAATAAACGTCTAACATTCGTTCGTTCGTTTCAGCCAAATGACGTCCACTGTTGGACGTTGATTAGCCATGATTTATTTATTGTTCTGTTATACCACTGTAATTTATAACAATCACATCGTATTTACGAGAACATAAACATTAAATTACAAATTTCTAGCCCGCGTTAAATTAGAAATCTTTGGCTTAATAATATCGTAACTAGTCTTAAAGTGTCGCAAAGCTGACTGCAGTGTAGAATTTGCCCGGGTCCTGGATATAATACAATCTGGAAAATACATGGCCAAATTATATAGCTGCCGTATCTAGCTGTTGCCAAATGATATTGGTTGTGTCTCACAAATATACTAATACATTTTGAAGATTTCAATTATATATTAATTCAGCGGTGACAATTTCCTGTCTGTTCTAGTTCGTTAGTATGGGCAGCTGGGAGACGCCACAGCGGGGTTGTATTGCGATTGCTAGCCGCAGGCGCGCGTGCGAACTCTTGCGACAAGTACGCGACGTCTGCGCTAACATGGGCGGCGCGCGCCGGCGACGTCGCCTCGGCTGCGGCGCTGCTACGGGCCGGCGCCGACGCTAACACCGCTGGAATGTACTGCTGGACGCCCCTGCTGCAGGCCACGCAAGGTAACTGACCTCCCCGTGACGTCACACTGCCAGGCTGCGGGCCGGCGCCGACGCTAACACCGCTGGAATGTACTGCTGGACGCCCCTGCTGCAGGCCACGCAAGGTAACCGACGCCCCGTGACGTCACGCTGCCAGGCTGCGGGCCGGCGCCGACTCTAACACCGCTGGAATGTACTGCTGGACGCCCCTGCTGCAGGCCACGCAAGGTAACCAGGCTCGTGACGTCACACTTTCTGGGTGGTGCGCGCCGGTGCGTAAACAGACAAGTGACGTCAACGATTACCTTCTCTTCGCTACGTCCGCACTCCGCGACATCTTTGTAACAAGGGCACTATACAGGGTGTTAGGTAAATGGGTATATGAGCCGGTACTAGCCCATGTTAACATGGGCATATAAATGGTATAGTGAAGTCAGAAATTTGATATCACCATTTTAATTTTTTTAATTTTCATACAAAATAAATTTTATAAAATCCGATTTGTATAAAAATTAAAATAATTAAAATGAAGATATCAATTTTCTGACTTCACCATACCATTTATATGACCATGTTAACATGGGCTAGTGTCGGCTCATATACCCATTTACCTAACACCCTGTATACGCCTCCGGGGTCTCTAAGCGCAAAGCTAAACCAGCTAACGAAGCCTGCAGAGGTCAGTAACGACGTCAAACTGATTTTCCCTTTTCAAACACGACCTTATAGTCTCACGACATCCTCATCCTAGCACTGAGAAATATAAGCGCACATCTTTTAGCTCCTAAAACATACAAAAGGTAAACAACTTGCGCGAAAAATACGGAACGTGACGTTTATTGTCACAAAGCCAAAAAAATATGAATCACAACTACTCCAAAATATGAATAAAGGTGTTAAATATTGTTTTCTTCTTTCAACAGGGAACCACGTTGAGATCGTCCAAATGCTATTGGAGCACAAGCCAAACGTGAACGCGCTAGACAAAGACGGCTTTACGGCTCTGGCCATCGCCTGCAAGGAAGGGTACTACGAAATCGCACTGGCTTTAATGAACGCGGGTGCTTATATTAATGTGCAGGTAAGACACTGTTTTTACTCTCTATATTCGCTTAAAATAGTTGAAAAAGAAGCAAAATTTGAAATGCTACGATGGACTACTGTATTTGCGCTCACTAATTAGTATCACTAGTGGTTAACTGGACCTTAGTATCCAGTAGCGCTTACCTGGCGAGAGCAAATACGACAGTAATTCCTATCGTTTTACGCTCACCAGGCGGCGCTACTGTTTTATCTACTAGCGTGTGAGAGAACCTAACTAGTGGCGCTAACTGGTGAGCAAATACTACACTACACACTACACTAGCACTCATTGTTTAGTAGGAATGTTATAAACGTTGGAACCTTGACTCAAAACACTGAATCACTCATCGTATTTTCCCACAGGATCATTCAAAAGACACGCCCCTAATACATGCTGTAAAAGGGGGTCACAAAAATATAGTGGAGGCGCTTCTGAAGAAACACGTAGACGTGGACCTTCCCGGCAAAGAAAAGAAGACTCCAGTATACACGGCAGTCGAGAAGGGACACCTCGCCATACTCAAGTTACTGCTCGCTTCTAATCCGGATTTAGAACACACTACTGTGGTGAGTAATTTCATCATCATCATCATTTCAGCCATAGGACGTCCGCTGCTGAACATAGGCCTCCCCCAATGCCTTCCACGTTGATTGATTGGTAGCGGCCTGCGTCCAGCGCTTCCCTGCTACCTTAGTAATTTAAATCACATTATTTACTTCGATTTACGACTGACTTTCTATACAAAAAGAGTCCAATATGTCAAACTTAAGACTAGTTCACCTTTTGCTATTAAAGTCCCCGATAGCCTATTGGGAAGTAACATATCTGTCAGATAAACTACAACATTTAGTTTCACATGTCTCAAATTGAGATACTTAACAACTAATGTAACGCTATACGCCAGATAACTATCTGGAACTTCTAGAACTTATGAGACTAGCTCATGTAGACCACGAGTTAAAAGCTGGCCAAAAGCAAAAAAGGCAAAGTTATTTAATGATTGAAAAACCGAGCCTTAGTAATCAATCCGATGATTCTCCAATACATAAAACATGATGTAAAAGCGCTTTTTAAAACTTATTTGCAGAAATGAATTTTATGACTATACTTATTGTTAACACCAACGCCATCCAGCGGCAACTGGAGGAGAAACGATGCGTCACAGATTAGCAAGACATACATCGACNGCTGCCAGAACTGGGTACCTAAACTAAATTCAACCAGTCTTTAATTAATTAGCTAATGCCCTTTTTCAAAGGTTAAGACATTTATTGTGGATATTCTTGTTTTTTATTAGTTTAAACAGGTTTTTTAGTTATGAATCGAATTCTGCACATTGAACTCGATCGGATAAAATTAGCGCATAGCACCACCATAAGTGTGATATTCATACAATTTTCTAAACACAATCATAGCACTTGAATGCGCAAAACCAGTAATCGGGTTCAGTGTGTAGAGTTACTCATAGCATTAACTTGCATAATCGAATCTGTTATGTTTACTCAAATGATGATGATAAAATTTAATTAAATCTAAATTGCTTATCTTAAATCGGCTTATTTAAAAGAGCATTTTTAGATGGTGCATAACTCGTAAAGTTAGCGTTAGCAACCTNACGCCATCCAGCGGCAACTGGAGGAGAAACGATGCGTCACAGATTAGCAAGACATACATCGACTGGTGCCTCACAGTTCTTCGGTACTCCGATAGATGGCGCTGTTCTCCATGTATAAAACGCGATGACATAAATTTCGCCTTCTTCATTTCACGTATTAACTTTCATTCGATTACCATTGTAAACGTCAAATAAACGTTATAGTCTAAATTTAAATCAAAAATTGTTCATTTGAGTACGAGTACTACCTATCCCAGCTGAACCTGATCTGCTAGTCTGAGGCGCAAACACTTATTCTAGTATTGATCGTATATGGTTTCTTCCAGAGTGGCGACACGCCACTAATGCGAGCAGTGAGGTCACGCAACCCTGAGATGGTGCAGCTCCTGTTGGAGAGGAAAGCGCGCGTCAATGTCGCCGACAACCGCGGCGACACCTCGCTTCATATAGCCATGCGCGCGCGCTCTAAGGTAAGGCAATATTGAAAACGAACTAAAAGTGTGCCTAGCTATTTAGAACCTTATGTGTGTATTCGATTCAGTAATACACTAGATTATTTAAATTGTAAGCTAAAACGCAAAAGACCAAAGACCTCCCTAGGAAATAAAAAAAAAAACATCATAAAGCACCTGCTACACAAACGTTTTGTCTAATCTCTATCCATCTGCCTAACTCATGCCCTGTGTTATGATTGAATATTGAGTCATTTGCACTCAATCTTTTGAATTATGAGCTTCATTCTATATACGCACCTGTAATTTGGACTTTGTACCTGTATTTGTTAATATTTTTTATTTCTTTCTTTCCAGCAAATAGTTGAAATTCTACTTAGAAATCCAAAGAATAGTCAATTATTATACAAACCCAACAAGGTTAACGAGACGCCCTACAACATCGACATGAGTTACAACAAGACGATATTGGGGCAGATATTCGGCGCGCGCAAGTTGAATACGAACGAGGACAATGAGAATATGTTGGGATACGAGCTTTATAGCGCGGCTTTGGCCGACATGCTATCGGAGCCGAGCTTGTCGGTGCCTATTACTGTGGGGTTATACGCTAGATGGGGATCTGGGAAATCGTTTTTGCTCAATAAACTTAAGGGTAAGTAAATTTAATTTACACAATCTTTAATGAAACAGGGTGAGAAAACTTTCGAGACAATCAATTTCGCAATCGTAATATGGAATTAATAACTACGAACAAATAAAAACTATGTGGTAAGTTTCGGTATACTAACTAGTAAATGTTATTGCCAAAACTAAGAATCGAACTTCACTATTATGTATTTCCTACATGTCCTGTAGGCCTAGGATTCGCGTCGCGATAAGTGGTTATCACTCCATTTTATCGATTTTGTCCATGCATTTGACGTCGATAAGAGTATATCACGGCGCGCATCTTAGCTCGGCTGAAGTTCATGATGTTTTATCGAGTGTAAATCATCTTATTTTCTTTATGTTTTCTTTACAATCTCAATTCAATATCATCTATCTTTTACAGAGGAGATGAAAAACTTCGCCCGTCAATGGAGTGAAACGGGTTGGACGTGGTCGTGGGCGGTGTCTTGGGGGGCGTGGCACGTGGCGTTATCTATCGGCGTTTGCGTGGCCACAGCTGGGGCGCCGGCCTACGTCGCAGTGGCTGTGTGTTTCGCGCTTTTTGCTGCCTTCTACCTGGCGCTGTATATCCTGTGGTACACGGGAAACAAGTGAGTATATCTTTAAGGCGGGCATCATTGCTGGGGAGTGGCACGTGGCGTTATCCGTCGGCGTTTGCGTGGCACGGCTGGGGCCCCGGCCTACGTCGCAGTGGCTGTGTGCTTCGCGCTGTTTGCTGCCTTCTACTTAGCACTGTATATCCTGTGGTACACGGGCAACAAGTAAGTGCATTCGAATCTTTTGGGCGTGGCACGTGGCGTTATCCATGCGTGTTCACGGCCGGGGCGCCTTCGTATTCACCGTGGTTGTTTCGCGCTCTTTTCAGCCTAAAGTTAATGGCTTTCTGTAGCGTAGGCGTGGCATCGTTAGGGCGTTACACGTGACGCTGTCTTTTATGACTTATGTGGCGTGAGAATTGAAACGAATAAATTCCAATGTGATAAATATGCCATGTTGATCTCATTGAACTTCTCCGAGTATGAGAATATAGAAGTAAATAATTTGGCAAATAAATACTTACTAATAAAGTCCATTATCTTACAGCATGACACCTACAATGTAGTAGAAACAGTGCCATTTCTATGAATCAGAGTTGTAGGTGTGTCTGTGTTGCATTGAAAGCCAATAGGAATCAAATTATTCTTGTTTTATAATTAGGTATTGGTTTGTTTACAATTTTCATCTTACGTGATAATTATAGAGCCAAATGACGCATACGAATTGCTAAAAATATCTCGATAGCATTGAAACGAATAAGTACGGCTTTAGTAATAAACATTCTGAGCAATAACAAATCAAGAACTCGATTCTAATTTAAGTATGTATTTATATTTTGGTTAGGATTCGCATTCCTACTCGTTTTCTGGTTTATAATAAAATTGGCGTTTCGTATTTTGAAAATAGGCAGATTTATCTTTTCTGTTATTTTCGAGACAGTCTTTCGTTCGTTTTCAGCCAAATGACGTCCACTGCTGGACAAAGGCCTCCCCCAAGGTTTTCCACAATGAACGGTCCTGCGCTGCCCGCAGACAGTCTTACTTAGATGGAATTACAAATTTAAAATCTGTTGTTAAAAATATTTTTTTACTAAGTGCGTGATGCTTTTACGAGACACAACCCGCTGTATGTATGTATATCCAACCGATCCATCTCCTAATTATGTCATTGATAATTCAAACACACTTTTTGGTATTTTTAGATATGAATGGTGGTGGTCCGGCGGCGTTTTGACTGCGCTAGGTTCAAAGTTCGCGTCCCTGTTACTGGTGCTACAAGTAGTATTCTGCCATCCGCCGGGACCGAACGACCCACATGCATTACCCGCTACTCCTATAAGGTTAGTTTTTGTTTCGCCTGCTTTTGTTTTCTTAGAGAGCTCGCAGACGAGCTACAGTATACCAGCGTCAGCTGGCGACAGTAGTTGACGACAAAATATTCAAATTAGGTGAACGTCGCCGACTCAACTGCGAATACCGATGATAGTCGTCGATGCATAGCTACTCTCGAAGACGGCCGTACGTAACGTATAGTCCAGAGTGTCAACATGACAGCAAAAGGCAAGAGTCCAAGACTGTCCAGTCGCCTAAGGCGTTCACCGTGAACTACCACTATCGCAAGCATTCGCTGACATAATGTCGCTCGTCTGTGTGCTCTCTAACGTGTTATGTAACTCTAAAGTTTACATTTACAGATTCCATTTCACGGAGGGCATGAAGGGCGGGGGAGCGGGGCAAGAGGGGGAAGCGATGGTGGTGCAGATGATAGCGTCTCTAGCGGAGGCGCTAGAATGCCAGTATGGGCGTGTTTGCACGCGGCTGGCACGCGCCTTCCGACCTAAACCCGTGTCCTCTACATCTGGATGGAAGTAAGTATTTACATTCATCATCATCATCACTTTAGCCATAGGACGTCCACTGCTGAACATATAGATGACCCACGCTGAACTGTCCCACCAAACTCAATGACAGGGGGGCGCTACCATCGTTCAACTATATGGTTTCCAACATAGCAAAAATCGGAACCAGCGATCCGGTATTGACGGTGGCGCCCCACTGTCAATGTCATGCACAGGACAGTTCAGTATTTTGGAACTATATCCCTCAATGATTTCCACCTCGCCCGGTTGGTAGCGGCATGCATTCAGCGCCTTCCTGCTACCTTTATGAGGTCATCGGTCCACCTTGTGGGTGGATGTCACACACTGCGTTTTCCTGTACGTGGCCTCCACTCCAGAGCCTTGTTGCCCTATCGGCCGTTAGTTCTGCGTACTATATGCCCTGCCTAAAGTCACTTCAGCTTGCTAATCCATCGGGCTATGTCAGCGACTTTACTTCGTTTACGGATCTCCTCATTTTTGATTCGATCTCGTAAAGTATGTAGTATTTACATTGATAAATACTTTTCTGTATGTACACCATTGCAACTCTTTTCGTATGGCTTTATGAGTCTTTCGCTAGGTTGTGATCTTCCCAGGATACCACAAAATACCATATATAATAGGATACCATAAATAAATACATAAATATCCTTGGACATTTTACACTGCGCCTCTAGTCCCAAACTAAGCAAAGCTTTTATTATGAGTACTAGACGACGGTTATAAACATACTTAAATACTTTTTTTTTTGTAAATACATACATATTATACATAGAAAACACCCAGACCCGTAACAGAAATTGAAATGATGAATTTTAATTAGAAATTAAAATTCATTATTTCAATTTCTGCCCGGCCGGGAATCGAACCCGGGTCCTCTCGGCATAGTAGTCCGTTCTGAATCACTTCACCAAACGGCCGACTAATTAAAATAAAAGAAACTATTTAAAATGTTTGTCTATTCCGGTCCATCCAACATCCTAATAAAGACTTATTTTCCCCCACAGATGGCGTCGCGTGTGCTGCATCCCTCACATCATTACGTTTGAGATTTGCTTTACGTGCATCCTCATTGGAATCAGTGTGCTCATCATGTACTTCACCGACAAGGAGGCGGATGCAACGTAAGCTTACACAATTTTGTAGAACCTGGGTAGTCATAAAATTTATTCATTCTTTCGTAACCTTATGTCCTTTTCTGAAGGTTATTTTTATAAGTGGTTTTAGATCCCTATTATTGTTTTTGATTACAAGTTTAAAATGAATCGAATTTGGCACATTGAACTCGATCGGCTCAAATTAGCGCATAACATCATATTGTGATAAGTGTAATATGCATAAAATTTTCTAACCGCAATCATAGCGCTTGGACGCTCAAAACCAGTAATCGCGTTCAGTGTGTAGAGTTACTCATAGCATTAACTTGCATAATCGAATCTGTTATGTTTACTCAAATGATGATGATAAAATTGAATTAAATCTAAATTGCTTATCTTAAATCGGCTTATTTAAAAGAGCATTTTTAGATGGTGCATAACTCGTAAAGTTAGCATTAGCAACCTNGTTCGATTGGCATTAGCAAACTAGCATAGCATAACAAAAGCCGACGGCTCAGTTCGATTAGCATTAGCAAACTAGCATAGCATAACAAAAGCCGACGGCTCAGTTCGATTAGCATTAGCAAACTAGCATAGCATAACAAAAGCCGACGGCTCAGTGAGATTGGGTCGTCGTCGATCAGGCGGCGTGAAATCCAACAGGGCGTGATGTTCGGCGCCTGCGCACTGGCCGCGCTGGCCGTCGTCGCCAACCTGTACACCTGGGGCCGCGTGCTGGCGGCGCTGGTGCTGTCCCCGCGGGCCCGCATGGCGCGCGCGCTGCGACGCGACGCGCCCACGCTCGCGCTGCGGCCCGAGGTGCTCACGCTCACGCACACGGTGAGTGTACCGCCGGTCGCCTGGGGGCGTATAGGGTTGCCAACTATACTGTTTTGAACAGTATTATACTGTTTTTCACTAAATTACACTTTTTACTGTTGAACAAAAATAAAGTATACAAAATACTGTTTTCAGCTAGCATCACTAGTGTGCAGCTGCCGACTAATGTTAATGTAGAGTGTGAAAATATTGTATTTAAATGCGTGGAAGTGTAGTCTCTTGTAAAGGCACCGGCTAGCTACACATGAACAATTATACTATAGGATAGAACTATGTCCCTAGGTATCCTAATTCCCTAGTTCCCTAACCTACAGCATAAATGTAAGATAAATAAATATATAGATAAGTGAGGGATGTCTGCACCGTGAGACCTAAGGTAACAGACGGAATGTGGTGAGGAATAAGGTGAGGAGTGGGTTTTCTCACTGCCAGTCAAGCAGACTCACAAGACTGTTCAGGATCTGATGGCTAAGGGTGTCTTGGCCACAGTGAGAGGAATATAGTTACCAGGTGGAACGATACGTGGTTGAAATGATGTAGTCCAAGTCCAAACGGTCAAAAAGGATTTATTAACAATCTTACAATATTTATACTAACGCTATTACTTAAATATTTACTATTACTTAATATTTAATATTTACTATTACTTAAATATAGATTTAAGTAATTACATTACTTAAATCTATAATAGTGTACGCCCGTGTAATGTGCAACGATTGCACTATGATGTAGGCCAAATTTGTTGCTGATCAGAGATCAATGTTCGTCTGAACAACTAGTATCCATAGATATTTTTAAAAGTAAATGCCCAACACCACATTTAAGTGCGCGTTGTAGAGCTATACTGTTTGTTTTTTTTTAATACTGTCTGTTTTCCTTCTCCGACCTCTGATATACTTTATATTTTGAAAGAAAAGTTGGCAACCCTAGGCGTAGTGTGAGTTTACATCAAACGCATTCGATGTCGACTGCGTATAAAAGTGACATTAAATGTATGACGGATTGTACAGCGCTGCAGCATCCCTAGCGTAAAGTTTTTTTATTCTTTTTTAACACGCTCGCTAGTGACGACGTTTGATGTAAACTCACCTCTGGCCGCGCTGGCCGTCATCGCCAACCTCGACACGTGGGGCCGGGTGCTGGCGGTCCTGGTGCTGTCGACGCGCCCACGCTCGCGCTGCTGCCCGAGGTGCTCACGCTTACACACACGGTAAGCCTGCCATAAAAATAGCTACTATGCGGGTGCAAGGAGTCGGTGCCCACTGCTGATATCCGACACGGGTCTACGCTCCGCCCGCCTATGCACCCTATCGAAGTTCATCTCCCGACGCATGTGTTACGATGCGGCGCTCGACAGATCTGAAGGAACAAGCTCGCGCTACTCTTTATGGAAACTCTTCTCACAATCTCACGCGTCCGTGCATATACATTGTGCGCCCACATGAGTTTCAGCGTAGGCCCTAATGGCTTACCCGCTGCAACATCAAAATATGCTCCCGTATGTCGAAGCGGCATTACTCACTACCTGTGCCAAAAGGAGAAGTGTACCTACATTGCTTCCTAGTGAAATTCTACTATTAAAACCATAATCTACTTAACAGCTTGAACGGCAACTCAACCAAAATCTAAAATTTTGGTTTTAATTTTGAACACATTGGTTACCTTAGCAAATAATTTTATTAAAATTATAAAATCTCTTTTTAAAAAAAAAGTTCATTCGACTAAAACTGAAACTCCATGTTCAATTTCTGTGCCATTCCGCAGGTGTCCTGCCTAGACGCGTTCACTGGCCAGCAGACGCGGCTGGTGGTAGTAGTGGATGCCTTAGACAGCTGCGAGCAAGAGAAAGTGCTCGCGTTGCTCAATGCAGTTCACGCGCTGTGCTCCGATCCCAAGAGCCCCTTCATACTGCTGCTGGCTATCGACCCANCCAAGTCCAAACGGTCAAAAAGGATTTATTAACAATCTTACAATATTTATACTAACGCTATTTACACACACATACAAGTACATTACTTAAATCTATAATAGTGTACGCCCGTGTAATGTGCAACGATTGCACTATGATGTAGGCCAAATTTGTTGCTGATCAGAGATCAATGTTCGTCTGAACAACTAGTATCCATAGATATTTTTAAAAGTAAATGCCAAACACCACATTTAAGTACGCGTTGTAGAGCTATACTGTTTGTTTTTTTTTTTTAATACTGTCTGTTTTCCTTCTCCGACCTCTGATATACTTTATATTTTGAAAGAAAAGTTGGCAACCCTAGGCGTAGTGTGAGTTTACATCAAACGCATTCGATGTCGACTGCGTATAAAAGTGACATTAAATGTATGACGGATTGTACAGCTTTCCTAGCGTAAAGTTTTTTTTATTTTTTTTAACACGCTCGCTAGTGACGACGTTTGATGTAAACTCACCTCTGGCCGCGCTGGCCGTCATCGCCAACCTCTACACGTGGGGCCGGGTGCTGGTGGCGCTGGTGCTGTCGACGCGCCCACGCTCGCGCTGCGGCCCGAGGTGCTCACGCACACGGTAAGCCTGCCATAAAAAAATAGGTCCTATGCGAAACACACGGATGCAAGGAGCGGGTGCCCGCTCCGGATATTCTACACGGGTCTACGCTCCGCCCGCCTATGCACCCCATCGAAGTTCATCTCCCGACGCATGTGTTACGATGCGGCGCTCGACAGATCTGAAGGAACAAGCTCGCGCCACTCTTTATGGAAACTCGTCTCACGATCTCACGCGTCCGTGCATGTGCATTGTGCGCCCACGTGAGTTTCAGCGTAGGCCCTAGGCTTACCCGCTGCAACATCAAAATACGCTCCCGTATGTCGAAGCGGCATTACTCACTACCTGTGCCAAAAGGATAAGTGGACCTACATTGCTTCCTAGTGAAATTCCACTATTAAAACTATAATCTACTTATCAGCTTGGCTAACGGCAACTCGTAACCAAAGCGCAAAATTTTCGTTTTAATTTTGAGGATATTGGTAACTTTAGAAACAAAAAATATTTTAGCAAAATATTGTGGATGAAACAGAGTCTCTGCTCAAAAAAGTTCATTCGATTAAAGTTAAAACTCCATGTTAAAAATTTCGTATCCCATTCCCCAGGTGTCCTGCCTAGACGCGTTCACGGGCCAGCAGACGCGGCTGGTGGTAGTAGTGGATGCCTTAGACAGCTGCGAGCAAGAGAAAGTGCTCGCATTGCTCAACGCCGTCCACGCGTTGTGCTCCGATCCCAAGAGCCCCTTCATACTGCTGCTGGCTATAGATCCGCATATTATTAGCAAGGTGAGAAATGGGCAATTTTTTTAGCTGGCTTTGTATCTTTAGGCCATGTATTTAGTATTGCGGGGGCGTGTAATGGGTAACTCAAGACTTGCGCCAACTCATCAACTCTAGCGCATTGAGGTTCAATGCGCCGGCGCATTGACTTATCTCAAAATGGTATAATACCAGAACAAAAGGTTTTATTCCTACCAGATTCGTTTCTGATTGACTAGTTCAATAAACTGTAGGCATTTAAATTTTATAGTATGCGTACTATGACATTTAAATGCCCCTTTGCACGTTCCCGTGTTTACGAATATGTGGCCCTAAAGTACAAAAAAATTCAGCATAAAAGTTTTACATTGATTAATTTTATTTAACCAGACCTACAAAAACTTATTAACCAATAATTAATGTTAACCTATAAATTAACCTATAAAATCTTACCGCTTAACAAGTGCAATATTAATTAATGTTAACAATTAACATTAAGGCCCGTTTTAATTTATGCAATTTTAAATCATATTTAGCTTCATACTCACTTAGTCTGTTCCTTCGTAAATATTTAGAATGCTAATTATTATAACTGTGACTGTTCTAGTACATAATAATCTTTAGAAGGATTTAACATGCTTCATGTATGTGCAGGTTGCTTGGATGGAGGTTAGTCGAGTCTAGTGGTTTGGTGTATTACCCCGTGGCCGTGTCCCTTGTATAAATATTAATGTCGTGAGGTCACCCAGTGTGTGTATACGTTTGAGGCATTTTTTTATATATGGCTACATGTTGAGCAATCATTTTCTCCCTTATTTTTAGAACATATCATTAAATATCATTCGTTGATAGTTGATCTTGACCATTTTGTCAAAGTTACGTGTAATAAGAAAGCTAAATTAATGTGTAATCAGTAAAAACTTTATAGCAATGCTATTTCTATGAAATATTCGTTGTAGCCTGAAACGGAAACGCACACAAATCCATAGTTAATATCAAGTGTTTGCATGATATTGTAATCAATATGTGTATAACCTATTATGTTATCTGTTGTACAACTCGGTGATTTGTGTACGTTGCATGCACTATTTGTGTGTTGTCTCTTTCATTTTCAATAATGGATATTCATTTATTTATGTATCAACGTGAAATCTTGTGAACTCCGTCAGTTCATAATATAACGCGTGAAATTGTAAAGATTGTAATCTACGTCAGATTTTAATCTGACAATTCACAATGTTACGGTGACACGTATCGTATATCGAATAAAAATATATAAGGCTGGGTTGCACCATCTTATTTTAACTTTGACAAACGTCAAAAATCTGTCAAACTCCATACAAAAAACATCGGTTATAGTTACGGTCAAAGTTAGGTGGTGCAACACAGCATAAGACTTTAAACTCCAAAAAACTAAACTGGTTTTAATAAGTTGTCTGTATTGTAAGTTGTTTGTATTATTTAGGCAGTGGAGATAAACAGTAGGCGGGCGTTCTCCGAAAGCAACATCGGCGGATGGGACTACCTTCGGAATATGGTGCAGCTGCCCTTCTACCTTCAGAACTCAGCTCTCAGACGCGTCAAGGCCGCACAGCAGGCTGCCGCTAAGCGCACGCAGGCCATTGGAGCTGATGACTTTTCTACATCGCTGCAGAGATCGGTAAGTGTGATCCTTGGTCAGAAATGTGTGTTATTTACTAGACCGACCAATCTTACCTTAACGTCAAAAATCTGTCAAATTCCATACAAAATGCATCGGTTATCGTCATAATTACGGTTAATTACCCTTTTGACAGGGCTTGCAGCCTACTTAAATTGAGTATTCCTCTTTAAACACTTTGTAATCTGAAACATTTCACTGATGTAGAAAAGTATTTTGTACAGTTCGAAAGAAAGAAATATTTATTACGATGAACATCACTTAGAGAACAAAGAAAGTATACGGAAAAAAGACAGAAATAGCACATAAATATTACAAGGAAATAAAAAGTGAACTGAGCAGTGGCCACCCTTTTGCAACAGCGATGCCCATCACAATGGGACTCCACTCAGCATATGCCGTGGCCCACGGTGAGGAAGGCCACGACGCTGGTTTTCAGTGGGCCCCATGCCGAGTGGAACAGTTCTGTTCAGACCTTCCAGCTAGGTCAAATGACAACTTGCGAAAGTTCGTTGGTAGAAGCTGGATGCGATAAGCCATAGACAATTTATGTGTCCAGGAAGGGACTGTTATAGGTTGATGATGTATGCTGTTTTTAGGTATCAGCCCGCCGCCTCTCATCCACATCCGAGCTCATGTCGAGCCAAGAACGCATAAAGAACCAGTCCGCCAAAGACGTGCCTAGCGCGAGCGTGCAAGCGGCACGTGCGCGGCGCCTCCGTCCATCAGAGTCAGTGGCGTCGTCGGTCGCGTCGGGGCTGCACCGCGCGCCCGCCGCCGGCGCCGCCGACCTTGGCCGCGTGCTGTTGACCGACGACTACTTTAGCGACGTCAACCCGCGGAGCATGCGCCGGCTCATGAACGTGCTCTACGTCACAGGTGAGTGCTGTAGTGGTGTACTGCAGGATGCGTGCTCCTCCGTCCATCAGAGTCAGTGGCGTCGTCGGTCGCGTCGGGGCTGCATCGCGCGCCCGCCGCCGGCGCCGCCGACCTGGGCCGCGTGCTGCTGACTGATGACTACTTTAGTGACGTCAACCCGCGTAGCATGCGCCGGCTCATGAACGTGCTCTACGTCACCGGTGAGTGCTGTGGTAGTGTAATGCAGGATGCGTGCAAGCGGCCCGTCCATCAGAGTCAGTGGCGTCGGGGCTGCACCGCGCGCTGACTAGTTCAGTGACGTCAACCTGCGCAGCATGCGCCGGCTCATAAACGTGCTCTACGTCACCGGTGAGTGCTGAGGTAATGTAATGCAGGATGCGTGCAAGCGGCCCGTCCATCAGAGTCAGTGGCGTCGGGGCTGCACCGCGCGCTGACTACTTCAGCGACGTCAACCCGCGCAGCATGCGCCGGCTCATGAACGTGCTCTACGTCACTAGTGAGTGCTGTAGTGGTGTATTGCAGGATGCGTGCAAGCGGCCCGTCCTTCAGAGTCAGTAGCGTCGTCGGTCGCGTCGGGGCTGCACCGCGCGCTGACTAGTTCAGTNGACATAGCACATGCAGCAAGCTTGCTAAGCCAGTTCAATAATTGTTATTCGGACATACATTGGAAAGCGGCTAAACGAGTTTTACGGTACTTGAAAGGTACAATAGATTACAGTATAGTTTATCAAAAATCTCCATCAATTGTTACTGGCTATGTAGATGCAGATTGGGCATCTAATCTACTTGATAGACGTTCTTATACTGGTTATATATTTACCATAGGTAACTCTGCTGTGTCTTGGGAGAGCAGAAAGCAGAGAACAGTAGCTCTGTCAAGCACAGAGGCGGAGTATATGGCATTATGTGAAGGGGCTAAGGAAGCCAAATTTATTAGAAACTTCTTGTATGAATGTCTTGGTAAATACTTATCAGTCACTTTGTATAATGATAGTCAGTCAGCACAGAAAATGTGTAATAATCAAAATAATCATAATCGCAGTAAACATATAGACATTAGACATCATTATGTAAGAGAAATAATAAATGATAAAGTTGTTAAATTAGAATACTTACCAACTGAAAACATGCCTGCAGATGTCTTGACAAAATGTTTAGGTAAAGATAAACATTGTAATTGTGTTTCTCGTCTTGGTTTAAAATTAATTGCCTAGTTCAAGGGCAGGTTTTGTTGAATTAGAATTTTCAACATATTTTAATTGTAATGCTCAACATATTTTTATTGTATTTTTTCGTTTGGAATAATTGTTTAGTTTAAGGGCAGGTGTTAGAGTATAAACTAAACGATTATTCTGGTAACACAGACGTCCGTGGTGGCGCCACTGAGTGTGCTTCTTGTTTGTGGTCTGTTGTTGTAAAAAAAAACCTGTGTGTAAGCTATAACCTAATAAAATGATACTGTAATACATTTTATGTTTTTACTCAGAAGAAGATATTATGACTAAGAACCTAACAANATATGTGGGCCTAAAGTACTAAACATTTCAGCATAAAAGTTTTACATTAATTTATTTAACCAGACCTTTAAAATCTTACCGCGTAACAAGTGCAATATTAATTAATGTTAACAATTAACATTAACAAATGCTTGTTCTAATTTATGCAATTTTAAATCATATTTAGCTTCATACTCACGTTGTCTGTTCCTTCGTAAATATTTAGAATGCTAACTAATTAATTATTATAACTGTGACTGTTCTAGTACATATAATCTTTAGAAGGATTTAACATGCTTCATGTATGTGCAGGTTGCTTGGATGGAGGTTAGTCGAGTCTAGTGGTTTGGTGTTTTACCCCGTGACCGTGTCCCTTGTATAAATATTAATGTCGTGAGGTCACCCAGTGTGTGTCTACGTTTGAGGCATTTTTTTATATGGCTACATGTTGAGCAATCATTTTCTGCCTTATTTTTATAAAATAAGAAAATATCATTAGACATCATTTGTTGACAGTTTCTTGGCCATTTTGTCAAAGTTACGTGTAATAAGAAAGCTAAATTATTGATTAATCAGTAAAAACTTTATAGCAATGCTATTTCTGTGAAATATTCGTTGTAGCCTGAAACGGAAACGCACACAAATCCATAGTTGATATCAAGTGTTTGCATGATATTGTAATCAATATGTGTATAACCTATTATGTTATCTGTTGTATAACTCGGTGATTTGTGTACGTTGCATGCACTATTTGTGTGTTGTCCCTTTAATTTTCAATAATGGATATTCATTTATTTATGTATGTCAACGTGAAATCTTGTGAACTCCGTCAGTTCATAATATAACGCGTGAAATTGTGAAGATTGTAATCTACGTCAGATTTTAATCTGACAATTCACAATGTTACGGTGACACGTATCGTATATCGAATAAAAATATATAAGGCTGGGTTGCACCATCTTATTTTAACTTTGACAAACGTCAAAAATCTGTCAAACTCCATACAAAAAACATCGGTTATAGTTACGGTCAAAGTTAGGTGGTGCAACACAGCATAAGACTTTAAACTCCAAAAAACTAAACTGATTTTAATAATGTTGTCTGATTTTCTCTTATTATTTAGGCAGTGGAGATAAACAGTAGGCGGGCGTTCTCCGAAAGCAACATCGGCGGATGGGACTACCTTCGGAATATGGTGCAGCTGCCCTTCTACCTTCAGAACTCGGCTCTGAGACGCGTGAAGGCCGCACAGCAGGCTGCCGCTAAGCGCACGCAGGCCATTGGAGCTGATGACTTCTCGACCTCGCTGCAGAGATCGGTAAGTTTAAAGTCAATGTGGGTCAGAACTACCTACGTCTTGTTTGTTTATTTATTATGGCACTTACTTAGACGTATAACATGCTAGACTGCTAGACAGGCATTGCTTGAAGTAGTGCGACATATTGACATTAAGGCTTGGAGCCTACTTAAATTGAGTTTTCTTCCTTGAACTCTGTGGTCAGCCACAAAAATTCACAGATGTATAAACACCATGATGTTCAGTTCTGTCCAGACTATTCTGTTTTGCTGCAAGCCTATTTGTAGAACACCTTCCAGTTAGGTGGAATGACAACTTGTGAAAGTTTGCTGGCAATATCTGCGTGCAACTACCAATTATTATGACAATATCTGTGTTCAGAAAGGTACTATAATGTGCTGATATTGTAAGTATGTTGTTTTTAGGTATCAGCCCGCCGCCTCTCATCCACCTCCGAGCTCATGTCGAGCCAAGAACGGATAAAGAACCAGTCCGCCAAAGACGTGCCTAGCGCGAGCGTGCAAGCGGCACGTGCGCGGCGCCTCCGTCCATCAGAGTCAGTGGCGTCGTCGGTGGCGTCGGGGCTGCACCGCGCGCCCGCCGCCGGCGCCGCCGACCTGGGCCGCGTGCTGTTGACTGATGACTACTTTAGCGACGTCAATCCGCGCAGCATGCGCCGGCTTATGAACGTGCTCTACGTCACTGGTGAGTCCTGTGGTGGTGTATTGCAGGATGCGTGCAAGCGGCCCGTCCTTCAGAATCAGTAGCGTCGTCGGTCGCGTCGGGTCTGTACCACGCGCTGACTACTTCAGCGACGTCAACCCGCGCAGCATGCGCCGGCTCATGAACGTGCTCTACGTCACCGGTGAGTCCTGTGGTGGTGTACTGCAGGATGCGTGCAAGCGGCCCGTCCATCAGAGTCAGTGGCGTCGTCGGTCGCGTCGGGGCTGCACCGCGCGCCCGCCGCCGGCGCCGCCGACCTGGGCCGCGTGCTGTTGACTGACGACTACTTCAGTGACGTCAACCCGCGGAGCATGCGGCGGCTCATGAACGTGCTCTACGTCACTGGTGAGTGCTGTGGTGGTGTATTGCAGGATGCGTGCGCCTCTGTCCATCAGAATCAGTCACGTCGTGGCTGCACCGCGCGCCCGCCGCCGGCGCCGCCGACCTGGGCCGCGTGCTGTTGACCGACGACTACTTCAGTGACGTCAACCCGCGCAGCATGCGCCGGCTCATGAACGTGCTCTACGTCACCGGTGAGTGCTGTGGTGGTCTACTGCAGGATGCGTGCAAGCGGCCCGTCCATCAGAGTCAGTAGCGTCATCGGTCGCGTCGGGGCTGCACCGCGCGCCCGCCGCCGGCGCCGCCGACCTGGGCCGCGTGCTGCTGACCGATGACTACTTTAGTGACGTCAACCCGCGCAGCATGCGCCGGCTCATGAACGTGCTCTACGTCACTGGTGAGTGCTGTGGTGATGTACTGCAGGATGCGTGCAAGCGACCCGTCCATCAGAGTCAGTGGCGTCGGGGCTGCACCGCGCGCTGACTAGTTCAGTGACGTCAACCCGCGCAGCATGCGCCGGTTCATGAACGTGCTCTACGTCACCGGTGAGTGCTGTGGTGGTGTACTGCAGGATGCGTGCAAGCGGCGCCTCCGTCCATCAGAGTCAGTAGCGTCGGCTGCACCGGTTGCTGACTACTTCAGTGACGTCAACCCGCGCAGCATGCGCCGGCTCATGAACGTGCTCTACGTCACCGGTGAGTCCTGTGGTGGTGTACTGCAGGATGCGTGCAAGCGGCCCGTCCTTCAGAGTCAGTAGCGTCGTCGATGGCGTCGGGGCTGCACCGCGCGCTGACTACTTCAGCGACGTCAACCCGCGCAGCATGCGCCGGCTCATGAACGTGCTTTACGTCACCGGTGAGTGCTGAGTAGCTATAGCGATAGCTTGTCCGTGGCATCAGGGCGGCCATAAGACTCTTTGGCTGCGTTTCCATCAAAGATGTGGGAAGCAGCTGAGCTATGAAGATTCGTAACGAAACCCTGCAAAATTGTAGTCGTTTTCTACTTTGTTTTGCTAATGCCCGTTTTCACCATCAATCCCTAATTTTTAAGTGACCCCTTTAAAAACAAAATTCCTGCTTTGTTGCCATAGGGGTCACTTAAAAATTAGGATTTGATGGTGAAAACGAGCATAAGCCTCTCAGCAGTACGAGGATCGATAATAATAATAAATACTCTTTATTGCACACCAGATAAAAAGAACAAAAAGAAAAGGAACACACACAAGGATAAAAAATATAATATATAAAATATTATAAAACAGTGGAAGGATGTGTAGCGAGCGCGTCCCGAGCATCCCTCGCACATCATAAGAACCCAGCCTTATGTCACCTATTAAAATATCGTTATACGTCTAATATAAAAATAACAACATGTTTCTTTTTGGATACTCGATTGACACACTGTAGTGTCTAGATTTGCCCCATCTCTATTCTGAATTACGACCATAATTTTCTACAAACTGATTAATAAATGAACCCAATTTATCGCCAGGTCGTCTTCTAAAAGCATTCCAAATCGAGTTCAACTGGTACCAGCTGGCGTCGTGGGTGAACATGACGGAGCAGTGGCCCTTCCGCACGTCGTGGATCATCTACCACCACGAGACTTATGAAGAACATATTGATGACTCCACCTCGCTCAAGCATATTTATGAAAAGTACGTATTATGGAAGTGCATAAGTGCAGTCTGGAAATCAGTTATAAATCATCACCAACATTTTTTTCTTCCTTATGGCTCTCGCGCGGATTGGGATTAGCCACGACAGGGTCACCAACTTTCTTAGATACTTATAATGGGAGTGAGTTCATCTCCATTTTTATTTTTTTATGCGTAACAAGGCAGGTATTTGACCACAATCGCACCTGGTGTTAAGTGGGATGCCGTCTAGGATAGCATTATTGTCCAACCGTCGACGAAGATCGAAGGAACGCCCTTTCAAATCTGTATAATTTTTATTTAAACTTTCATTTAAAAAATAAGAAGTATTGTCTTTGCGCTCATTAGTTGGCGCCACTAACGAGTGACAGAACAACAGAGTATAGCAGCGACACCCTTTTGAGTAACATTACGATAGTCCTACTNTGAGTACCGAGTGTACCATCTGCGCTATAAATTCTTTATAGAAAAACAAAGGAACGGAGCGGGCCGACATGCGACACAGCCTCCCCGTGCGAACGCTAGTGAAATACTGAGCTCCCGCATTCGAGTGGCCTGCGTGTGGAAATTACAGGGTATTTTGAATGTATGACACGTAATACAAGATTTTTGAAAAAAAATGAACAACAATTTTTTAGACCATTAAATTATCTATCATTTGGTGAAAGAATCATTAAAATCGCTTCAGCCGTTTAGGAGTAGTAGGAAATTTCTATGGTGAAATTAGAAGAAAGTTAAGATTTTTTTCTGTCAAAACTAATAGTTGTAACAAAAAAAACGAACAACAATTTTTTAGTTTAAGATTTTATACATCTCACACATATTTTTCTTTCTTGTTTGGATCATCCATTTAGGAGGAGTAGGGATTCAAAGAGAGGTCTATTTTGCAGTTTTGCCTCACCTATCGCCTTATGTAAATTACCATTTCCTTCAATTAACGGAATTAAATTGTTGTTGTTGTTGACGTATTTGGGGTTTGAATTTATACGTTAGCCTATTTTACAATACATATTATCTTTGGATAGTTGAAGGCCTCGTGTGGCCGTTCAATAATGAAACGTCAACAAAATGATCGACCATCGTAATTTGTAACGTACCTATAAACGCATGGGTTCGTTTTGGTAGTGACAGCAAACACTCCGTAACAGCATAGCTGGGCACCGTTAATCAAATAGTTAACTTCGTTAATCGTTAATCCGTTACTAAAAAAATTAACTTCGTTAAACGTTAAAACGTTACATTTCGGAAGATTTAACGCAAGTTAACGTTAATCGTTAATCCGTTAANGACGTCAACCCGCGCAGCATGCGCCGGCTCATGAACGTGCTTTACGTCACCGGTGAGTGCTGAGTAGCTATAGCGATAGCTTGTCCGTGGCATCAGGGCGGCCATAAGACTCTTTGGCTGCGTTTCCATCAAAGATGTGGGAAGCAGCTGAGCTATGAAGATTCGTAACGAAACCCTGCAAAATTGTAGTCGTTTTCTACTTTGTTTTGCTAATGCCCGTTTTCACCATCAATCCCTAATTTTTAAGTGACCCCTTTAAAAACAAAATTCCTGCTTTGTTGCCATAGGGGTCACTTAAAAATTAGGATTTGATGGTGAAAACGAGCATAAGCCTCTCAGCAGTACGAGGATCGATAATAATAATAAATACTCTTTATTGCACACCAGATAAAAAGAACAAAAAGAAAAGGAACACACACAAGGATAAAAAATATAATATATAAAATATTATAAAACAGTGGAAGGATGTGTAGCGAGCGCGTCCCGAGCATCCCTCGCACATCATAAGAACCCAGCCTTATGTCACCTATTAAAATATCGTTATACGTCTAATATAAAAATAACAACATGTTTCTTTTTGGATACTCGATTGACACACTGTAGTGTCTAGATTTGCCCCATCTCTATTCTGAATTACGACCATAATTTTCTACAAACTGATTAATAAATGAACCCAATTTATCGCCAGGTCGTCTTCTAAAAGCATTCCAAATCGAGTTCAACTGGTACCAGCTGGCGTCGTGGGTGAACATGACGGAGCAGTGGCCCTTCCGCACGTCGTGGATCATCTACCACCACGAGACCTATGAAGAACATATTGATGACTCCACGTCGCTCAAGCATATTTATGAAAAGTACGTATGTTTAATTCATACAACAGCAGGGCTACTCCGAAACGCGTAGTTACGGGTCTATCTGTAAACGTTACTCATGTTGGCATCTCGCTTTGCGTGAGAGGGATAGCATGGCAACATTCGATATTTCGGAAAACGTTTTTCGGAGTCACCCTGCTGAAGTATAATAGTCACTAGTCGGTTAAAAAAGTCAGTCAAGTAAAATCATCATAAATTTTCTAAGATACTAATATTGCCGCTAAATATCCAAATACGCAAAACATCTATGCATAAGATGGGATGGGATCACCACAACTATCCATCCATGTCGCCAAAAGTCGAATTAACGTTCTCTCAAATCTGAAACTTTGAATCATGGCTTGAAAAGCCTTACGTGCATAATCAGGGCTGCCGTATCTGTGTATTGTTCACCCTTAGGAATCTAATAGTGGTGACACCCTTTTCAGTGATAGTACAATAGTCCTACTGTAACTGCTTCAACGCTCACCGGTTAGCGCCACTTTCTTAGCAATTGACAGGACCTTACTCTGATGATGATGATGATCCATCCGACCGATTTCGGCCATGGCGACCGCTCCGACTCCTAGCTGTCTTGGCGGCGCTGGTGTGCCCGAAGATGGCTTACGTAGCCTATTTTCGCGGTAAAATCCCTCGCGCATTGAGGGCATCTGAGCACGCCGCCAACATAGTAGGACCTTACTCTACAAATATAGGCTATAATACTTTTAGAGTAAAACCAGCGATGGGCAGCCTCCGCGAAGCCAGCACCCTCATGGAGCTGGACCGCGACGAGCGCAAGCTGGAGGTGTTCCTGAGCTTCCACCGCGCCACGCTCACCGCCGCCGACCTCAAGATCTTCCTGCCCTTCACCATCAACCTGGACCCCTACATCAAGAAGGTCATCAAAGGTGGGTCGATTTTAAAAGCAAAAGTATTCTTCCAGATTCCACGTCACTTGTTTTTTGCCCGGGAATCAGAGAAACTCGTCAATGTGACATATTATTTGAAATCAGTGTGTAGTTGTCAGATGCAGTATCAGTTATGCTTTTATGATGACCGAGTTTAGCAATTTTAAAACTCTGAAAGTCGTTGTATTGGTGGTTTTGCTGATTATCTTGGAAGACACACTTGTGTGGATAAGGTTTTCTTGACGATGTTTTGTTAATTTTACTTGCAGAAGAGCAGCTGCAGAACGGCTTAGAAGAGGATATGGGCGCCGGTGCAGCGCCCTGGAACACGCCACAGCACATTCGTCAGCCGCACTCGAAGCTGTTCCATAGGAAACATGTGAGTTATCTATATATATATATAAAAGAAAGTCGTGTTAGTTACTTCGCTTATAACTCAAGAACGGCTGAACCGATTTAGCTGAAAATTGTCAGGGAGGTAGTTTAGAGCCAGGAGAAGGACATAGGATACTTTTTATCCCGTTCGAAATTTAAAAAAAGTCTGCTTATTTATTGCCATTAAGGCGGAACAAAGTTCGCCGGGTCAGCTAGTTTAATATAATAGCTTGTCCATAAAAAACAAGTGATAGACAGATACGTTTATAATAATAGGGCATCTAAAAGCACGCACTAAAATTATACTGAGACGTGTAAAAGCACTTTTTAAGTCCAACTACCAAAACTACCCAGCTAAACGTTTGTAAGGAATCAAATTACACCTAAGGCCCAGAAGAGACGGTGAAACGAAACTGCAACTGCTAGTTACTTTTGAGTTGCATCTAAGTTTCTGCCATAGCGTCCGTTGAGAGACCACACATGACGCGACCAGTTTGAAACTTTCAGTTTCAGTTTCATTCATCAGAATCATCAGAAAGTTGCAGTTGCGTTTCACCGTCTGTACTGGGCCTTACTTGTGTTTGACAGTACATGTTTCCAGCATAATATTAAATTGTGCCGTCTCTTTTCATTTCTTTCTTTTCTTGCATTGCATCGTGTACTATCGACTATAGTTCCAGCTACCCATTTCCGGTCATGTCGTCTCGTTCTATCGCAAAAAATCACCATTTGATGAGAGCGAGAGAATAAACGAAAAGGCGTAGCCGGAACTGTTGCCCACTATACAATAAAGTGTCTACTATCTACACTCGACATCAAATAAATCGCACCTCCCGCGACAAGCATTTTCAAACGTATGCATTCCCACTTCCCACCAATATTGGAACCATTTAAAAGCCTAGTTCTAACCTTCATTTCATTAAAGGAAAGGTTCTTACCCCAAAAATGTGTCTTTAGAAGGATCCAGAGTCACTTCTTCAAAAAATAGGTAGTTACGCTAGAGCCAACTTTTATGGCTATAAAACTGTTAAGTTGGGATTAATCGCTATCCATCTGTTAAAGAGGACACGTGTGATCATTATTTGGTTTTATAACCATAAAAATTGGTCTAATTGATCCCATAGGTGGGCCCAAAGTGAGGTATTTTTTCAAGTCACATTTATGGTGTATGTTTATCATTTATTAAGAAATTAAATGTGTTTTTCTTTAAGGATATTTATTGGGCTTTCAAATAACACCAATATTGTTGGGGCACCATGATTGTGTCAGAAGAAAATCGTTAAAGTTCGCGTCGCGGAAGGTGCGGTTTATTTGATGTTGAGTATATTTAAATTTCAAGTTATCAAAAGCTTATACCTCATCTATGTTCGCCAGCGCTCGTCCCCACCAAACCAGTCAGCGCCGCAAGCTCCCTCCAACCAGCCGATGTGGGTGGGCTGGGCCAACACGAGCGGCTACGTGCCGCAGATGGCGCCCTTCGCGCCGCAGCCCGCGCCCGCGCAGAACCCTTATCTCATGCTGAGAACCGCCTTCCCTGCGCTGGTGAGTTCGTTTCAGCCGCGTCCTCTGACCAACGTGCCGCAGCCCGTGCCCGCGCAGAACCCTTATCTAATGCTGCGAACCGCCTTCCCTGCACTGGTGAGTTATGACTAGTTTGTACTGTGTCAGCTAGCGTTCATCCCCTCGCAACCTCCGACCTATGTGGGTGGGCTGGCTACGAGCTAACAACACGAACCCCTACCCTATGCTGTGGAATGCAATCCCAGCACTGGTGAGTAATTACTAGTTTGTAGTATGACTGCCATGCAGCATTCGTCCCTCCTAACCAGTCAGCCTCCTAACCAACCTATGTGGGTGGGCTGGGACAACACCGTGCCGCAGAAAGCTCCCGCGCAGCACCCTTATCTAATACTGAGGACCGCCTTCCCCGCACTGGTAAGTAATTACTAGTTTTATCTTACCTATGTCTTTCCCGGCAACCAGTCAGCGCCGCAAGCTCCCTCCAACCAGCCGATGTGGGTGGGCTGGGCCAACACGAGCGGCTACGTGCCGCAGATGGCGCCCTTCGCGCCGCAGCCCGCGCCCGCGCAGAACCCTTATCTAATGCTGAGAACCGCCTTCCCTGCGCTGGTGAGTTATGACTAGTTTATATGTTACCTAGGTATATTCTTCGCTCCTAACCATTCAGCGCCGCCCGCGTCCTCTAACCAACGTGGTTGGGCTGGGTCAACACCGTGCTGCAGCCCGCGCCCGCGCAGAATCCTTATCTAATGCTGCGGACTGCCTTCCCCGCACTGGTAAGTGATTACTAGTTTGTATCCTACCTAGGTACATCCTCTGCTCCTAACCAGCCAGGGTTGCCTGTGCCCGTGTAGCCAGAACCCCTACCTCATGCTGCGGACTGCCTTCCCTGCGCTGGTGAGTAGTTTGGACTATGTCTGCTAGCGCTCCTTCCTGCTTAACCAGTCAGCGCTGCCCGCGTTCTCTAACCAACGTATATGGGAGGGCTGGGTCAACACCGTGCCGCAAATAGCGCCCGCGCAGAACCCTTATCTGATGCTGCGGATCGCTTTTTCTGTGCTAGTAAGTAATCGCTAGTTTGTAGTATGACTGCCATGCAGCATTCGTCCCTTCTAACCAGTCAGCCTCCTAACCAACCTTCGTGGGTGAGCTGGGTCAACACCGTGCCGTGTCCGTTTTGCCAGAACCTCTACCTCATGCTTTGGACTGCATTCCCTGCGCTGGTGAGTGATTACTAGTTTGTACTATGACTGCCATGCAGCATTCGTCCTCTCCTATCCAGTCAGCGCCCGCGCAACACCCTTATCTAATACTGAGGACCACCTTCCCCGCACTGGTAAGTAATTACTAGTTTTATCTTACCTATCTATGTCCTCCCCGGCTACCAGTCAGCGCCGCAAGCTCCGTCCAACCAGCCTATGTGGGTGGGCTGGGCCAACACGAGCGGCTACGTGCCGCAGATGGCGCCCTTCGCGCCGCAGCCCGCGCCCGCGCAGAACCCTTATCTAATGCTGAGAACCGCCTTCCCTGCACTGGTAAGTGATGACTAGTTTGTACTGTGTCAGCTAGCGTTCATCCCCTCGAGCTAACAAGACGAACCCCTACCCGATGCTGTGGAATGCAATCCCAGCGCTGATGAGTAATTACTAGTTTGTACTATGACTGCCATGCAGCATTCGTCCTCTCCTAACCAGTCAGCGCCGCCCGCGTCCTCTAACCAACGTATATGGGTGGGATGGGTCAACACCGTGCCGCAGATAGCGCCCGCGCAGAACCCTTATCTAATGCTGCGAACCGCCTTCCCTGGGCTGGTGAGTGATTACTAGTTTATACTGTATCAGCTAGCGTTCATCCCCTCGCAACCTCCGACCTATACGGGTGGGCTGGGTTACTACGAGCTAACAACACGAACCCCTACCCGATGCTGTGGAATGCAATCCCAGCACTGGTGAGTAATTACTAGTTTATACTGTGACTGCCATGCAGCATTCGTCCTCTCCTAACTTTAACTTTAACCAACGTATATGGGTGGGATGGGTCAACACCGTGCAGCAGAAAGCTCCCGCGCAGCACCCTTATCTAATGCTGAGGACCGCTTTCCCTGCGCTGGTAAGTTATGACTAGTTTATATGTTAACTAGGTATATTCTTCGTTCCTAACCATTCAGCGCCGCCCGCGTCCTCTAACCAACGTATATGGGTGGGATGGGTCAACACCGTGCCGCAGAAAGCGCCCGCGCAGCACCCTTATCTAATACTGAGAAGCGCCTTCCCCGCACTGGTAAGTAATTACTAGTTTTATCTTACCTATGTCCTCCCCGGCTACCAGTCAACGCGGCAAGCTTCCTCCAACCAGATCTATGGAAGAGACGTTTTGACATTTCAGAAAAAATACTTTGATTCGGTATCCATTGCCCCATTGATTGGTGTTGTTATGCACCCTATTTCATTATCATTATATTTTCTCCCCAGGGTGACGTGTCAGGCCTCCGTCTATCAACTCTAAGCGTGGACCGCGTGTGCTCATTAGCTCGGGGCGCGCTTGGAGCAGGTGGGGAAGCGGCGGCGGCTGCTCTACAGAAACACAGAGTCTGCGGCCTCGCGCTCGCTGCCTGCCGGCTACAGGACCTAGCGCCGGTAAGTTAATACTATTAGCTCTCTTTTGGGTAATATTATTTCAGCTACAGTCTGCTGCTGGACGTCGCTAAGGAGCGCAACAAGGCACAATCACGTAGATGTAAGTCAAAAAACAAAGAATGCTCGGATATTTCCATCCCTCTCACACAAAGCAAGATTGCATGAGTGACAGTGACAGATATCCAAAACTACGTAAACGAAGTAGCCCTGCAGGTTCAGTTAGGGCTTTTGTCTAAACTTCGAGCCAGAGCGTGGACCGCGTGTGGGAGGCGGCGGCGGCGCTGCAGAAACACCGCGTCTGCGTCCTCGCGCTCGCTGCCTGCCGTCTGCAAGACCTAGCACCGATACGTTCATCTTCTAGCTTTCAGAATCTTAATTTCGGTTATTCTACTACTGTTTGGCGTTCCAGGAGTCTCCAAAGTGTAGGGGTCGGCAAACCAATCTCGAAAAAGACAGGTTCTCATCAATTTAATTCAATCATGAAATACGGGATGTGCAATTTGTTATTGTGGGAAACTGATGCTTATTTTAAAGCTATCCTGGCCAAATCTTTACTGTAAATCGCCGAAGCCAATTATGATTTATCTAGAGTAATTTCACCCCTCTAGTTCTAAACATTTTTTCTTTTCAGATTCTAGAACTGCCCTTCGGTGACTGGGAGTTATTCAAATTGCTGATCATAAATCTCCGTGAGATCGAAGCCCACTTGCCTACCAGTGCACCTACAGTGAATGGTAAGTAAAATATGGAACGCATCAAATCTTTTTTTCTAGACCAGGGGTGGCCAACCGGTCGATCGTGGCAAGAAATAAAATACTACATGATTGTGTACTAACTATGCTTTTTCATTTAAGATTTCAAGAAGTATGTAAGTGATAGATCGCCCAGGGTTTCGTTAGTAAACAGTAGATCTTATGTCTAATCAAGTTGGCCACCCCTGGTCTAGACTATTGGTAGAGCCGGCTGATAGTAATTAAAACATTATTCTTGCCTTTTCTATTCTCACCTCTCACTTTAACATACTGGCCGCTAATAGAACAGTGAAGGCTGATTTACATACTGCCCGCTGCAAAGTGAAGGCTTATTTAGCCCCGGGAGAAAATTAAGTTATGGTTGACACTTTCCTAAGCATTTTTTACGGTTTTTCAGTAATTACCGATAAAGCAGCAGAAACAGAACCTGACTCAGTGAAAACAAGACCAGTGATTGAACACCAACGCAGCCGCCCCTCAAATGTGGAAAAACAGGTAATTAAATTCATTACAAATCTTTTGCAAAGTTAGACGAACAAAATTAATTCTAAAATACTTAATGGTATTGGTAAGTAGTATTTATTTAAATATAGCAAGGAATATACTCATTACAATTTGATCTAAATTACATTAAAATTTTGCAGCCATATGCGGAATATCAGGTGATTATTAGACGTGTGAATAGTATCAGTGTTTTAGCATTTTTTTTTTACATTTTTGCACTAGGCACCTATAGTTGTTCTGCACAATTTAATTTATTTTATTATGTGTTCTGTATGGTTAGTAAATAAAAATATTTAATGAATTACATTGGAAAGGATGATCAAAAAACTAAGATAAACGGTACTTCTCTTGCATGTTTAGAATTTCCTATTTCCGTCGCCGTTATTTGGCACTTAAAGTTGAAGAACATCCACTAATAAGGACCCCTTTAGCTATGTAATATTTTACCATTACACACATAGACCTACGTCATTCACTCAAGTAGTTGTTTTTATAGTATTTTAGTTGTGTCGACAGTATCATGGAATATTTTAACTGTGTCAAATGATACTTAATATTAGAAAACAATATTGCTACTGAGCGCGAATTTATAGAGGTCCTCAAGGCCGTTTAATTGCGTACGATTTTATGTTTATTTATTTTTATGTTATCAAGATACAGATGACGCTGATATATCAAAGATATTTTGCGTTGTAGAACGCCACCAAGCTTTGTTTTTGTAGTATTCTTTGTGCGCTTATTGACAGACAAAAGAAATCACCAGCCAAGTATATTCCTAAAACGATCATTATTTCTAGCGATCCAGTCTGGACGCTGAAAGTCATCTGAAATAATAATAATAAATAAATAAATAATCTTTNCGTTATACGTCTAATATAAAAATAACAACATGTTTATTTTTGGATACTCGATTGACACACTGTCGTATCTAGATTTGCCCCATCTCTATTCTGAATTACGATCTTAATTTTCTACAAACTGATTAATAAATGAACCCAATTTATCACCAGGTCGTCTTCTAAAAGCATTCCAAATCGAGTTCAACTGGTACCAGCTGGCGTCGTGGGTGAACATGACGGAGCAGTGGCCCTTCCGCACGTCGTGGATCATCTACCACCACGAGACTTATGAAGAACATATTGATGACTCCACCTCGCTCAAGCATATTTATGAAAAGTACGTATTATGGAAGTGCATAAGTGCAGTCTGGAAATCAGTTATAAATCATCACCAACATTTTTTTCTTCCTTATGGCTCTCGCGCGGATTGGGATTAGCCACGACAGGGTCACCAACTTTCTTAGATACTTATAATGGGAGTGAGTTCATCTCCATTTTTATTTTTTTATGCGTAACAAGGCAGGTATTTGACCACAATCGCACCTGGTGTTAAGTGGGATGCCGTCTAGGATAGCATTATTGTCCAACCGTCGACGAAGATCGAAGGAACGCCCTTTCAAATCTGTATAATTTTTATTTAAACTTTCATTTAAAAAATAAGAAGTATTGTCTTTGCGCTCATTAGTTGGCGCCACTAACGAGTGACAGAACAACAGAGTATAGCAGCGACACCCTTTTGAGTAACATTACGATAGTCCTACTGCTTCAACGCTCACCGGTTAGCGCCTCTTTCTTAGCGAGAAACAGTACCTTCGTTCGTTCGTTCGTTCGTTTCAGCCGAAAGACGTCCACTGCTGGACAAAGGAACTTACTACAAAATAATAAAGTCAATAATACTTTTAGAGTAAAACCAGCGATGGGCAGCCTCCGCGAAGCCAGCACCCTCATGGAGCTGGACCGCGACGAGCGCAAGCTGGAGGTGTTCCTGAGCTTCCACCGCGCCACGCTCACCGCCGCCGACCTCAAGATCTTCCTGCCCTTCACCATCAACCTGGACCCCTACATCAAGAAGGTCATCAAAGGTGGGTCCATTTTAAAAGTAAAACTATTCTTCCAGATTCGACGTCACTTGTTTTTTGTCGGGGAATCAGAGAAACTCGTCAATGTGACATATTATTAAATTTGAAATCAGTGTGTAGTTGTCAGATGCTGTATCAGTTATGCTTTTATGATGACCGAATTTAGCAATTTTAAAACTCTGAAAACCGTTGTATTGGTGGTTTTGCTGATTATCTTGGAAGACACTCTTGTGTGGATAAGGTTTTCTTGACGATGTTTTGTTAATTTTACTTGCAGAAGAGCAGCTGCAGAACGGCTTAGAAGAGGATATGGGCGCCGGTGCAGCGCCCTGGAACACGCCACAGCACATTCGTCAGCCGCACTCAAAGCTGTTCCATAGGAAACATGTGAGTTAGCTAATAAAATATCTTAGTACCTTGTCCATAAAAAACAAATGATAGAAAGATAAATTTATAATAATGGGGCATCTAAGAGCATGTACTAAAATTATACTGGGTCGTGTAAAAGCACTTTTTAAGTCCAACTACCAAAACTACCCAGCTAAACGTTTGCAAGGAATCAAATTACACCTTAATCGTGTTTGACAGTACATGTTTCCAGCATCCTTATATTAAAAATAAATTACAACAAGTTGTGCCGTCTCTTATGTGCATTTCTTTTTTTTTTTGTTTTGTATCGTGTACTATCGGCCACAGTTCCAGCTACCCATTTCCGGTCATGTCGTCTCGTTCTATCGCAAAGAATCACCATTTGATGAGAGCGAGAGAATAAACGAAAACGCGTAGCCGGAACTGTTGCCCACTATACAATAAAGTGTCTACTATCTATTTACATTTCAAGTTATCAAAAGCTTATACCTCATCTATGTTCGTCAGCGCTCGTCCCCACCAAACCAGTCAGCGCCGCAAGCTCCCTCCAACCAGCCGATGTGGGTGGGCTGGGCCAACACGAGCGGCTACGTGCCGCAGATGGCGCCCTTCGCGCCGCAGCCCGCGCCCGCGCAGAACCCTTATTTGATGCTGAGAACCGCCTTCCCCGCGCTGGTAAGTAGTTTGGACTATGTCTGCTAGCGCTCTTTTCTGTCTAATGATTCAGCGCCGCCCGCGTCCTCTGACCAACGTGCCGCAGCCCGCGCCCGCGCAGAACCCTTATTTAATGCTGAGGACCGCCTTCCCTGCACTGGTAAGTAATGACTAGTTTGTATCCTACCTACCATTCTTCGCTCCTAACCAGCCAGCGTTGCCTGTGCCCGTGTAGCCAGAACCTCTACCTCATGCTGCGGACTGCCTTACCTGCGCTGGTGAGAAGTTAGGACTATGTCTGCTAGCGCTCCTTCCTGCCTAACTATTCAGCGCCGCCCGCGTCCCCTAACTAACGTATATGGGAGGGCTGGGTCAACACCGTGCCGCAAATAGCGCCCTCGCACAACCCTTATCTGATGCTGCGGATCGCTTTTTCTGCGCTAGTAAGTAATCGCTAGTTTGTAGTATGACTGCCATGCAGCATTCGTCCCTTCTAACCAGTCAACCTCCTAACCAACCTTCGTGGGTGAGCTGGGTCAACACCGTGCCGTGTCCGTTTTGCCAGAACCTCTACCTCATGCTTTGGACTGCCTTCCCTGCGCTGGTGAGTGATTACTAGTTTGTACTATGACTGCCATGCAGCATTCGTCCTCTCCTATCCAGTCAGCGCCCGCGCAGCACCCTTATTTAATACTGAGGACCGCCTTCCCCGCACTGGTAAGTAATTACAAGTTTATATCTTACTTATGTCCTTCCCGGCAACCAGTCAGCGCCGCAAGCTCCCTCCAACCAGCCGATGTGGGTGGGCTGGGCCAACACGAGCGGCTACGTGCCGCAGATGGCGCCCTTCGCGCCGCAGCCCGCGCCCGCGCAGAACCCTTATCTCATGCTGCGGACCGCCTTCCCTGCGCTGGTGAGTGATGGATACATGTAAATAGGCTAGTTGCCTAAAAAAATTTTTTTAGTCCGTAATGTTTAATATCAAAAAATATTGGACACATATATTTTTATTTGTCAATCTAACAAATAATTACATAGTTATGGTGCGTTGAAGTTGCGCACGACGTCACAACGTGCGGCATTTTTAAGCAAGGGTTGACGTCACGGGCCTCTTCTTATGAACTTTGGGGGGCTTTATCTCTTTAAATTTTCATTAGTTTGAAAAAGTGAAAAATACGTGTAGAGTATTTTTTGATAAGTTAACTGACGGACTAATTAAAACTCTTGCTTTTTGACCCAGGCAACATCCCCTTGTGATTGTGTTTTGATAACTACAAAAAATAATGGCAAATTAGGTATTTGTTACCAATAATTCCAAGACCCAACTTCTAGTCCTGAAAACTGTTAAGTGTACTTGCGCCACTAGACAAGCTACAAAATGTGACAGTTGTAATTTGAAATCGCTTCGCTCCAGTATTTGCTCCGTAAAGTGATATCGGAACTACAACTATTCAATTGTCTGTAATGAAAAGTAGCTTTGAATTCAATATTGAGCTCGCGACCTATTGACATTGCTTCCACAGAAGAAAAGTTTTCTAATCCCTATAACGATGGGGTAAGTCAATGGGCATAATCCATGACATCTTGGTCCCCATTGCCATATAAAATATATCGCATATTTAATGTAAATCTAAACACTTCTTTACTCCACTCAGCCTTGGTGCAAACCGTAGGTTGATAATGTTGCGTACCTTACTTCATTATCATTATGTTTCTTCCCAGGGTGACGTGTCAGGCCTCCGTCTATCAACTCTAAGCGTGGACCGCGTGTGCTCATTAGCTCGGGGCGCGCTTGGAGCAGGTGGGGAAGCGGCGGCGGCTGCTCTACAGAAACACAGAGTCTGCGGCCTCGCGCTCGCTGCCTGCCGGCTACAGGACCTAGCGCCGGTAAGTTAATACTATTAGCTCTCTTTTGGGTAATATTATTTCAGCTACAGTCTGCTGCTGGACGTCGCTAAGGAGCGCAACACGCCACAATCACGTAGATGTAAGTCAAAAAACAAAGAATGCTCGGATATTCCATCCCTCTCACACAAAGCAAGATTGCATGAGTGACAGTGACAGATATCCAAAACTACGTAAACGAAGTAGCCCTGCAGGATCAGTCAGGGTTTTTGTCTAAACTTCGAGCCTGAGAGTGGACCGCGTGTGGAAGACGGTGGCGGCGGCGCTGCAGAAACACCGCGTCTGCGGCCTCGCGCTCGCTGCCTGCCGTCTGCAAGACCTAGCACCGGTAAGTTCATCTTCTAGCTTTCAGAATCTTAATTTCGGTTATTCTACTACTGTTCGGCGTTCCAGGAGTCTCCAAAGTGTAGGGGTCGGCAAACCAATCTCGAAAAAGACAGGTTCTCATCAATTTAATTCAATCATGAAATACGGGATGTGCAATTTGTTATTATGGGAAACTGATGCTTATTTTAAAGCTTAAATCTTTGTTGTAAATTGCCTAAGCCAAGCATGATTTTCACCCTTCTAGTTCTAAACATTTTTTCTTTTCAGATTCTAGAACTGCCCTTCGGCGACTGGGAGTTGTTCAAATTGTTGATCATAAATCTTCGTGAGATCGAAGCCCACTTGCCTACCAGTGCACCTACAGTAAATGGTAAGTAAAAATTAAATATGGAACGCATCAAATATTTTTTTCTAGACTATTAATTGTAGACCTGGATGATGTAATTAAACCAACATTCTTGCCTTTTCTATCCTCACCCCTCACACCATCATAATGGCCACTAATAGAACAGTGAAGGCTGATTTACATACTGCCCGCTAATTAGAAAGTGAAGGCTTATTTAGCCCCGAGAGAAAATTTAGTTATGGTTGACACAAAACTAAGTTAATAAGAAGAAAATATAAGATCTTTCCTAAGCATTTTTTACGGTTTTTCAGTAATTACCGATAAAGCAGCAGAAACAGAACCTGACTCAGTGAAAACAAGACCAGTGATTGAACACCAACGCAGCCGCCCGTCAAATGTGGAAAAACAGGTAATTAAATTCATTACAAATCTTTTACAAAGTTAGACGAACAAAATTAATTCTAAAATACTTAATGGTAGTGATAAGTAGTATTTATTGAAATATAGCAAGGAATATACTCATTACAATTTGGTCTAATTACATTAAAATTTTGCAGCCATATGCGGAATATCAGGTGATTATTAGACGTGTGAATAGTGTCAGTGTTTTAGCATTTTTTTTTTACATTTTTGCACTAGGCACCTATAGTTGTTCTGCACTTATTTTATTACCTATGTGTTCTGTATATGTATGGTTAGTAAATAAAAATGTTAAATGAGATACATTGGAAAGGCTGATCAAAAAACTAAGATAAACGATACTTCTCTTGCATGTTTAGAATTTCCTATTTCCGTCGCCGTTATTTGTCACCTAAAGTTGAAGAATATCCACTAATAAGATTTAGGACCCCTTTAGCTATGTAATATTTCAAGATACAACGTAACACACATAGACATATGACATTAACTCAAGTAGTTGTTTTTATAGAATTTTAGTTGGTTTCAGAAATCAGTTGTGTCGACCGTATCAAGAAAATTCGACTTTTATAACTGTGTCAAATTATACTAAATATTAGAAAAAGCTACTGAGCGCGAATTTATAGAGGTCCTCAAGGCCGTTTAATTGCGTACGATTTTATTTTTATCTATTTTTTATGTTATCAAGATACAGATGACGCTGATATATCAAAGATATTTTGCGTTGTAGAACGCCACCAAGCTTTGTTTTTGTAGTATTCTCTGTGCGCTTTTGACGGTACAAAAAAAAAATCACCAGCCAAGTATATTCCAAAAATGATCATTATTTCTAGCGATCCAGTCTGGACGCTGAAAGTCATCTGAAAGGTTAGATCCGCGGTCGATTGTGTCCGCCCTACTAATTGTGCCCTCAACACAGGCAGGCCTGGCTCACTCCGCGCGGTACATCCGATAATTACCTACAGCGAAGCGCTCCGCCGGCGGGTATTATATCAGTCGAGTGTCACGCGCGCGCCCGTCAGGACGCTGGCGTTGTAGTACCTAATTCTATGATCGAAGTATTATTTAAAAATGGACATAAAGAGAAAAAAATATTATTGTGCGGCGTTCGGGTGTTTAAATTCGAAAAGAAATCTACCGGATTTATCTTTTTTTTCGCTTCCCATGGTATGTTGGCCATGTAGGTAATCAATAATTCTTAGGATAGTATAGGAACCTAACCTACCATGACTACTGCTCAGAATGTCGTTCGTTTCAGCCAATTAATGACGTCCACTGCTGGACAAAGGCCTCTACCAAGGTTTTCCNTGCCCTCAACACAGGTGACGCTCGAGGAGCAGATGATATGCGGCGCGCTGCAGACTCTCAACGAGGAGGCTTTGGAGGACGTGCTGCAGAACGACCCGCCCCCAGGTGAGCCGCTGCGCACCGTCCGCGAGCACCGCCCCTCCCCGCCCGCCCCCTCCCCGCCTCCGCAACACAAACACGTGGTCCTCAACCTGCCCGATGACATTTTCTTGTGAACCTCCTGCTGTAGGAATGGGCTAGTTTCCTAATCTAGGAATCTAATAGTGGCGACACCCTTTTTAGTGATAATACAATAATCCTACTGTAACTGCTTCGACGCTCACCGGTTAGCGCCACTTTCTTAGCAATAGGCTAGTTTCCTAAAAAAAATTTTTTTACTCCGTCATGTTTAATATCAAAAAATATTGTACACATATATTTTTATTTGTCAATCTAACAAATAATTACATAGTTATGGTGCGTTAAAGTTCCGCACGACGTCACAACGTGCGGCACTTTTATGCACGCATTGACGTCACGGGCCTCTTCTTATGAACTTTGGCGCGCTTGATCTCTTTAAATTTTCATTAGTTTGAAAAAGTGAAAAATACGTGTAGAGTATTTTTTGATAAGTTAACTGACGGACTAATTAAAACTCTTGCTTTTTGACCCAGGAAACATCCCTATTGTAGGCAGTCGACACCGTTGACATATCTGTGTGTGACCCCTAGACAACTTGCAAAATGTGACAGTGTTTCTTTGGAAAGGTGGTCGAAAAGTCTTTTTAAGGTTCCGTAGTCCTGACAAGGAACCCTTATTTTATGGAATTACTACGGATTCGATTGTCGATTCGATCAAAAAGTGTCTAGACACACTGGTCAATAGCAACTGTAAAGAGGGGTTGGTAGTTGACACTAAAGTAACGGAGGCATATCCGAATAGTTTGTGAACAGGCCTGATATGGGAACAGTAAAGGGTAGGTAGTTGACACCATAAACCAATACCGAGGCACACCCAAAAATAAAAGGGTTCTTAGACTATCGGAAAACCCAATTAGTTTCCAAAATATTGCGTAATTGAATTAACAGAAAAGTGACGTCATAGCTTGTCTACATACAAAATCTATGGACCTCGATTTGACAGCTCATAAAAATATGTCAATCGCCTAACTAATGTGTCAACTACCCTATTTTCGATTCAGGTGAAAATGCATGCAGTTTCTCAAATGCTTTAGCTTGCTTTATTGAAACGAATAAGCATGGTACTGTCGAATACGGTTCACCGTAAGATGACATAAAGTAGTCTCGGTGTATCTTCTATACACGACGAACTTTGTTATTAATATTAATTTATCTGCCTGATAAGTATTACATTTCATAGCAACCCTTTCCACAGTGCCAGATCGCCTAGTAAGTTCATCAAAATCCATTTATCAACTTGTTGATAAAATAATCTCACTACGAGATTGAGTCGAATCAAGACATATGTTTTGATGACCAATCCATCCACAACCATTTATTTGAATAATGCGAAGCATAGTCCGATAGCATATTTGATTATAATAAAATGTCGGCTAGAAAAATGGCAAAACTTATTATTTCGTCGTCAAAAAATAAAATTTGGCGTGTGTTAGCTCATCGTCGTTTAGTTATTTATTTAAAATTTATGATATTAAACTTAATTTGATCAGTATTAAAATTATTTAGCAAGTTTTTTATCATACAGCGAAGACTGAGTACCAGTATTAGTCTGTATGACACGTGTTCGTATCAAATATTCTATCGGCATCCAAAAAGTAAACATGTTACATACAGAGTGACTATGTAATCGAGTATTTCCTTAAAAAATATTTGAACACTTAATAGATAATGGAGATAATATTTATGATATGAAGAGAATGTAGGTAATAATACCATAGTTTTTAGAAATAAACGAAATTCATATTTACTCTGAACATTCACTGCTACATCATTTTGCTTTTAGATACGGCATGGCACCATAAAGCATAACACAAATCACCCTACAAAAGACCCTTAAATCCTTTAAAAACGATCGAATTTATTATAGATACCTTTATTACCAAATATTAGATTGGCTTTTACAGATTAACGTCACTACGTTAACTCCGACATTTTTAATACTATATCTCGAATGTAGCTTTAGAAATTATATTACAAATTGTTGTTACTGGAAGCAATAAATGTAAATTGTCAATTACATATCCATATTTTAGTACTCAAAAGTTTCAAACTCAAAAGTTGTTTTTTGTTTACATTTTGGTAATTAGGATCGTATTCTGTTTATTTCGAACAAACACAAAAGACATTACTAGCATTCCATTTTTGCGATAAAATTATTTTATTAATAATTGGCTGTGTATAGTTTTATACCTTTACTTTAACCCATTAAATTTAATGTATAAATTGTAGAAACATTTTATTAAATGTGCCATTATTATCCCGCTATTGTGATGTTTAGGAGACATTTTAGAAAAGTAAGTTTAGACGGTTTAAATATTCTTTTCAAATTCTAAAAATATCAACTGTTTGTTGTATAATACGATATTATGAATCATGTTTAACTCTGGGACCCAGTGAAAAACATAAATATTGTAGTTTAAGCGTAGGTACTTAATGAGTGTTTATCAAAACATATTCCTTCTGGAACATATCTTTTTCATACGTTATTGAAAATGTTCTTCTAATATAATAGAATTAAGAGTTTCGAATATGTATCATTTTCCATTTATTTGTACATGCAATTAGTACTTAATCGGCTGCTAAGCCGTTCGATCACTCGAGGGACGACATACGTCGTCATTCTACATTGCATTCCCACTGAAAATTGTGATGTATTTACACGATTATGTAATAATAAATATACAAAAGTTTCCGGTCGTTTAATTTCAACCCCGACGGACGTACTCCTCCCTCGGCGGCTCGGCGGCCCTCCCGCCCCTCCAGCCCGCTCGCACCCGCACGCTTCTCCCTCCGCTCGATGTAACCGCGTGTCCTTTCAGACGAGGAGGCGGAGCCGCCGCCGCCGCGCGACGCGCCCATCCTCAAGGGCGCCGGCAGCTTCCGGCGCCGCGCGCTCGCCGACCCGCCCGCCGTCACCTTCAGCGTCGAGAACGAGCACGACTCCGACGACGGACACATCACCTTCAGCGCGCGCCCGCCCCCCGCCGCCCCGCGCCGCGCGCGCTCGCGCCCCCGCTCGCTGCTCGTGGCCGCCGACGACGCGCCCGAGCCCGCCGCGCGCTCGCGCTCCGTCGAGGACTCCACGCGCTCCGGCTCGCCCGTCGTCGACCTCAAGCTGCGCGGCCTGCGCCGCACCGCCGACGTGCTGCGCAAGGTCAGCTCCGCCGAGCGCCTCGCGCGCCTCAAGGACAAGATCATGGCGCGCGACCGCAGCCCCGCGCGCGACGAGCCCGCCGCCAGCGACGACGAGTCCGCGCCGCTGGTGTCGCCGCCGCGCCCGCCGCCGCCGCCGCCGCTCGGCGTCGAGTGCGAGCGCGAGCGGGAGCAGGGCGCCAGCTCGGACCCGTCGCCGCGCTCCGACCTGACGGAGCTGGACTCGCCGCGCGGCGCCGACTTCGACCTGCTGCCGGCGGGCAAGGGCGCGGGCCCGGAGGTGACGCACGCCCACGGGCACGGGCACGCGCGGCGGGACAGCGGCGCGTCGCTGAGCAACATGGTGGAGCCGTACAACCTGCGGCTGCTGGCGCACGGCACGACGGACAGCGGGCGCGCGCTGTGGCGGCAGGACGCGCTGGACGCGGGCCCGCCGTGGCCCTGGGACGAGCCCGACGAGGCCGTGTGACGCGCGCGCCGCCCTCGCTTCCAGTGACGGATCGGCGATGACTTGAGATTCCTCTACGTCGCGAAACGTTCGCGACCGACCGGAATCTACGTACCTCTTGTGTACTTATTATTATTCAATTTTTATGATACGTTCGATGATACCTGTAGCTGTAGGTACTTAATGTTTCACAAATTGACGGCAAAAACGATATTGCATTTAAATGTAATAAAGTACTTGTACCCAGAATTGTGATATTATATCCATAAGAGTACGAAAATATATTTTGTTTTCGATCAATCTTGTCTTTTTGTTTATATTCATAAAGGATGTAATTAAGGTTTTCTAAATTCCATTCAGAAGAGTACTAAGTATGATGTAAACGTAAAAAAACATTGTTTCTCGAAATCGTGCTGTTCTAAACCATTCTAAAATTGGCCCGGGATCTTGAACATTTTCGGTTTTAGCGTATCGTCAAAGTAGACGTCTCTACAAAACGTTCAACAAAAACCGACCTCCCGTCTCTCGCCTTTTAAGGCGATTGAAAGCAACAGACAGTGCCAATAATATGATAGCAGCAGATTTACTAGCTAGCATTAGGCCTGCGTTTCTACTGAAGAAAGGCTGGACGAAACGGCGTGTTTAAAAAGTTAAAGTGTGACATAGGTATTATAAATGAAAAGCAATCACATTTCTTGAAATCACAATTTAATCAACATTTACAATGTAATTACTAAATAAATAGGTAAGAATAACTTAATCATTTACAGAATAATAGAATCCCAAATCTGTAAACATAGTACACAAATTATAAAATAAAAAACATAACATTTCATTTTGCGGCATGGTAGAAATAATCGTCTTACACATAATGAGCGTTTTACTTAGCTACAATCCTGAAATCAGTAACTGTTCTTCTACACACGACCGTTTTTACTGCAGCTTACGACAAAAGGTTACTGTATCTGATTACTATAAAAATGGATCAATTAATTTGTTTGGAAATAAGTGAAATCGAAAAATCAATCCTTAAACTATACACTAGGTATCCTAAATTCATGTATTTCCCGTAAACGAAACAATTTCGTTGAACTATTTTATTTATTCTATTCGGGAAGTTGATTTCATTACGGCGTTTTCTTTCACTCATTTTACAATCATGTTACACATGAATAGTCATAAGTCATAAAAATATATTTTTCCCAAATTCTTTGATTTAATAACTTGGAATTGAGTTTTACAAAAGCTAGAGAGCATTATGAGACAATCAAGATATTAATTTATCATTTTTATTAAGTATGCAGCCATATGAAAACCTTATCAGCTTATCAAACACTAAAATTATATCAAGTACATATTCAACAACGAACTAAATTTAGAGATCACAAAGTGTATCAAAGTCTAGTTAATAACTAATAATATCTACATTTCAATGATATACATATTTCAGCTATAACTACTACCCATTCATAACTTTTGTGGAAGTTATTATACATGCATTCTTATAATATTTAATTAATTTAAAAGCATAATATTCAACCATGAGATGCCTGATCATTAAAAAATTGCTACCTCCAACTTGAACATCACACTACACAGTATGTGAGTCTTACTTACCTCGTTATGCGTATCACCAGTGATTACAATATTGATCTCTAGAAACCATATAACCATTTGAAATGGGAAGAACTTGGTATCATAGGTACTATTGTCAATATGAAGAAAATATTTTACATGATACAAACATTATAGGTATGTGCAGTCAGGGTTATGGAATTTTACAGTTGACTGACATACTGCACTATTAGATTATACGTACATTTTTTAACATATTACCAATATACATACATAATTATAAACAAAAAGCTAAAAAAATATAAATTATATCACCAACAAAATTAAAGGAAGCACAGATAGCTCATTGTGAAAATATCTACAAAACATTAATGGAATTAAATTATGATAATTAAATCATCAGTAATCATTCTCGCACTTTTACACCATATAATAAAGGACAGCCTTGTGCAAATAAAATAGTGCTTATTCGAAAATCACAAGATACCCACTACTTCGACATCTAGGACTAAGCAACCTCGTTTTAGATTAGATTACCATTTAAAACACCATTGACACTTGTGTAACTCGCGTGAATATTTACACTAAAATATAACATTACTTTTTGTAAGTATACAATTGAAGCGAGAATACACTGTGTAAGAATTTATGTTAGATATTAGATAACAACACGACGCGTTCGGAATCTCAGGAATCGGCGAAGTATCGGCAACATGAACATTGAACAACTTACACTAACATTATCGACGGGGTATGTTGACCAGTCTAGACGAGAGACGACTTTCGAGAAGCGTCAAAAGTGTAGCAAAACAGCATTTCTCAAAATCTAGCTAGGTCTAACTAATTAGCGTCTCTCGAAATAAGGCGTACAAATTCGATGTCCCTTGGAATAACATGTATTTGAAGAAATACATAGGGAGTTAAGATCAGAAATGTGTGTGTATGTTTACCCTCTTCTATAGAACACAATTAACGCGAATATTTAGTTCACAGTTCGCGTTAAACAAAGTCAGTGACTGTAATGTGGTCACCGCGTAACACGTTAACATTAAATTTGGACCCTGCGTGTGTCAACAACGCATTAAGCCTAATGAGATGTTCAAAGTTTCAAAATTAACATTCCAACCCTACACTGGTCAATATACCCTCATCACATCGCAACTAGGAACTGATCGGTCACTAAATGACTTGTATCTTACCGATGTTGGTGGTGGTGTCCTCGATCGACTTATCGGGAGGGTCGGGGCGGTCGGGCCGCCGGTTGTCGTCTAGGAGGTCCGCGGCGTTTTCGGCGGGGTCGGCGTGGAGTTCGGCGGCGTCGGCGTGGAGTTCGGCGGCGTCTTCGGCGTCGGAGGGCGGGTTATCGTTGGCCTCCAACGGCGCAGGCGCAGTGAGCGCCGACCACCAGCCGGATAGGGCGCCTCGTGCCTGCGACAGGGCGCCACCCACGGCCCGAGATGTCGTGGCCACCGCCCGCCCTGTGCTCGCCACCGCCGCGGTCACCTTTCGCCCGCCCTCGGTTGTAGACATTGTGCTGCGAGAAAAAATCGACTAAGTAAAACTATGACACAAATGGTTTCTTCTACAATTTTTACTCAAATTAATGTCAGATATGAAAAGTTTGACTATGATTAAGAATGGCGCTGTTCACATTTATCGGATGTCGTCGAGGCCGATAGGCCTCTCCCCGCCACCCCAAATCTTGTTTTTTTTGTAGTTTATACTCACTGATATTTGAGCTAATAGATAGATGGTTGAATGTGGTTCTCGACATTCTAAAATAATTGAAAAACTTAATTTCGTCACTTCTCAATTTTGTTATGAAGTTCTGAAATGTTCCTAAACTAAATCTTTCGAAAATCGCACCAACCAGCTTATAGGTCGGGCTGATAACCGATTTAAGTGTGAATAGAGGCGCCGACAACCGATTAAAATCCGGACCCGACATCCGATAAGTGAGAACGAGCTCTTAGGATCTGATACATAAGTCCACAAAAAACACGGTCTAATTCTCAAAAGGCTGAACTACAACTTGGCATCCTTTTCTTAGCGGCACCGAAAATAAATACATAGTTTTATTCGATGACGGGAGATTTAGTTCAGATTTTTTAAAAATTACTTTACGTTATGATGACACTCACTGTGCGAACTTCAGCTTCATGTCGGCTACGGAGAGCTGTCCCGAAAAAGGATGGACTGGCGCGAGGTTGGAGAATGCCTCGATCTCTCCGTTGTTGGTGCTCTCCAGCCAGCGCTGGTAGGCCGGCGTCGCCTTGAACGCGCTCATGAACTGAGCGTTGTACGAGTCTATTTCACGGCTACCCTCTGTAATCAATGCAGAAACACATGTTTATATTTTTGTAATTACATTTTCTCAGACACTTAGTCACTTTCAAATCAAAATCAATTCTATACATTTGTTTCGTCAGTGAAGTTCTGTGAGCAAGTCATTTTTTAACGGTTTTAACAATTTAATGCCGCGTGCTTTTTATCCGACCAATCTCCTGTAAAATGCACATTTTTGACTTACACACTGTTAGAACTTAACTGACAATTTGTCTCAGAAAACTACTTTAAAAGAAAAATGGTAGACTTACCTGGCAATAAAGATGTTCGTAAGAGATAAATAAGGTAACTAGAAAATTGATCTCTGATCCACGCGTCGCCTTGAGTAGACCCATGGCGCACAACGTGGTCCGCGAAACGTAAGTCCTCCGTCCCCAGAGCCAGCTGTCTCCTAAGTACCATATCTCCGGTCTCTATTCTCATCTCATTTAACTCCACGAGCACATCAAATAGCTGCCTCTTTTGCTTGAACAGGACATTAGACGCACCCACCACGAAGCCCTGAACTGCTGGATCAGATAGCAAATCCAAATATTGTAATGACAAATATGGCAGACACAAGTAGCCATCTTGAAACAAAGGCAACGGGAAGCCACATTCTGCTTGATCTATCTGTCCCGTCAAATTATAAAGACCATCAACACTCATATCTCTAGCCATAGTGGGACTTTGTTGTGCTTCTACTAACGTCTTTTGAGTTTTATATTTCTCCCCAATACTGTGGCATTTTTCCCTGCCAGTGGAAAGGTCTTGTCTATCAACAACATCAGTGAGAATAGTCTCATCAAAACTTTGCCTGCTTACTCTGTCTTTTTCTTCTAGCATATTGCCGGTCTCTTTTGGAGTCAGTTCATCAGTTTGGTTTGTGCCATTGACATAGGGTTCACTGAGTGCTTCACTACAATTGTTCATATTATCAGCTGTTTTATTGTCAGTAACAGGAATAGGGGAGAGTGGTCTTGATAGCCTGAAAACAATAAAATAAGGAACCATTCACAATTTGATATGAAGAATATTGTAAACATAAAGTAGATAATTTTATAAATGAGTTGCTTACGTGATATTGGCAGCATTAGTGAGACCGTGATCCAAGCAGCGTGGCAGCAGTGATAGGAGAGTAAGCAGAGCTGCAGATAGAGCACCGGCAGGCGCACCATAGATTAACACTTTGCGTCTCAGCAGCAGTAATTTGAACAACAGCAGTGCTTTATGACGCCAATTTTCTACTAGACGCTGCACTGATAATCCTGAAAGAAGAAACAAAAAAAATATATGATAATGATCTCAGTGATGAAAACTAGATCTAGCATCAATGAGTAAAAATAATGTGTAACAACTTTGTAAATTTTAATGTAGAAAAAGCTTCATTAAGGCCAATGAAGGTGGGATGCCAAAAATAACATCATCTTTAATGTTTTAGATAGAATAATTACAGGATTGCCAATCTAAATAGTGAATTACAATCAATATCAAAAAAACATACTATGTAGTCAAGAGACAATAATAATATTATCTATATTACGTCATGATAGATTGTTTATGAAGCATGTATAAACCCTGCCTATGAAACACTTGAGAATAGACTCAAGCAATTAATGATCTTAAGTTGATCTCAAAATAATTTTACTGTAATTTCTTTATTTAAGTACGTTAATAACTTTTTATTCAATAAACANAATTCCTGATGTATATAAAAATGGTCCTACAAAATTGATGGTGAAAAAGCTTCGGGAATGGCTGACTACTGTTTGTTTCTACAGTGTTCGGGAATTCCTTACCCGTAAATTTGCATGTTAAAATATTTTAACAGAATAGAGTCCTTAATACATGTAACATCAACAATAACCTGTACTTACCTATTCTTGCAAATAAATATCTTTATCTTTAATAATTTTATAATATATTTACATAAACTTAAAATTTAATAACTTTTATTATGAGACCTTCCAAAATATTACCTTCCAGTATCTGGTCCAGCTGGACGGGGCAACTATTGAGGTGTTTGTAAGCATCTTCCAAAAGCTTAGTCTGTGCGAAATCTCCCTGCAGGAACCACGCTCGGACCACCAGCTCCAATTTGACGGCTAGACGTCCAAATAGGGGTGCTCGACAAATCACACAAACACTCTTTTGAACAGAGCTACGGGTCATATCCTCAGTCTTCTGGACGACTTGCTGCAAATCGAAGGTCTCTATTAATATAATTACTGTCTCACACTAAAAAGGTTAATAATATAATATGTCAATTCTGCAAATATTTTATTTGCACCAACCAATAATAGGACCTTCAAACCCAAGCTGAATTGTTCAAAAATTCATGAGATCCACAAGATCTAATCTAACAAACATTTCAAAACTTTTAAATATATTTTCTTACTTCTACAGGGATTTGTCGAAAACATGATATCCCATACACAGTATGGGCTGGCTCACTTAATCCAGGTAAATTGAAGAATATTGTGTCTGATAGATAATTGTGAGAGCCATCAGGAAGAGCCAGTGCGGGCAGATGTCGCCAGGCCGCTGGCAGCTCTGTAGGGCGCCCGGGGACCAACTCCGGGTAACAATGCTCTACCTAGAACGAAAAGAGAATAAATTTTACCTAATAAATAAAACCATAACTTAGCTCAACTTTCAACTTGATACAAACTACTCAGGCAGATAACATCTTGTAACAAATACCAGAGAACAACAACATTACCAATTCTGTAATAATGTATTCTTATCGATTGATACCGACTTATGATTAAAGTATTAGTAAAAGTATAATAAACTTGACTTTAATGTACTAATAAAAGCGATATCGTGGATAATTACAAAGAAAACAGTATTGATTTATACAAAAGGAATGACGCCTACTCACCTGGCATCCTTTTTTGTGATGGAACCCGATTACTATGATGTTAAGAACCGGCTCATTCAACGAAGACATTTTATTTAGCTGTGCATTTCTTATTTAGTGTAAAATTCACGTACGATTTTATAAATAATTTTACGTATTTTCGTAAAATAGGAAATAAGACTGACTGACAGGCACCGAGTAATTTGACAAGTGACAAAGACAAAGTGACATTTATAAAAAAAAACAAGCAATGGGATACAGATAAAAAATCATAGACTTTTTTTATTTAATAGATGTTTTACGGCTTTGGATATAGATCTATACGGCCAATTCTTGTTATTATCACAGACAACCTAAGACTTATAAGTCCCACCAAACTCGATGACAGGGGGGCGCTACCATCGTTCAACTATATGGTTTCCAACATGGCACAAATCGGAACCAGCCTGAGGAACCAGCGATCCGGTATTGACGGTGGCGCCCCACTGTCAATGTCATGCATAGGACAGTTCAGTATTTTGGAACTATAACCATACCACGACCATACCATTGACGAAATGTTTCCCCCCTAGACAAAACGTACTTTTTGATCGAATCGAAAATCGAATCCGTCAAAACTCCATACAAAAAAGGAGCTTTTCGACCACTTTTCGACTGGTTTGCGATTATAATTTGCACTTTGTCTAGACCCACTGTTTAAAATACAAAATTTTACAACATTCAAAAAAGGAGAAAAAATTAGGTTCAATCCAAACCCTGACAAAAGAGTGCTTTTATAATTAAAAAAAAAGGAAAGTGCAAAATAGAAGAACAGTATGCAATTTTAAGAAATTAAGATCTTAACTACTTAAACTGAATCATAATAGAAATTGTTTAGTTATTTATTTCCCATATGGACATATTATTTCCCACCGCAACACATCCCTTTCCCTCTACTTTTCCAGGTTTTCCAGGTAAATTTTGAAATTTACGCACAAAATTCACAGCTAAGTTCAAACAAAGTTGAAAAGTAAACGGAGCGCGCGCAACTGGAGATGAAACGCGAATGGTCCAGGGATGTACTTGGATGCGGGTAGCATAGGAACAGTCGTTGTGGAAATCCTTGGGGGAGGCCTTTGTCCAGTGCCCCTATTGCGCTAATTTTTAACGTCTCCAATACATTGGCGCTTCTTCATCAGTTGCGCTCCGTTTTTCATTTCAGCTGAGGTGCAAAATCGCTATCGCGGTAAAGTTCACGCGCAAACAAGTACGAAACAACGGATTTAATCACTCTCTAATAAAAGTCCGAACACCTTATTTTTTCACTAAAAACAGCAAAATTAAATGTTTGTGAAGGCGTTTGAGTTGAACTTGAGTTTGAGAAAAAGTAGCTTTCTTTCAGCTTCTACACAAATAAGCAGTTGCGTTTTGATTTCGTTTCAACTAGCTGTCAAAGCGCCACCGCGATACGAATTTGTGATTTTCGTTCATCGTCTAGTCGCGTTGTAGTTGAAAATATTTAGCGCAATCGGGGCCCATTATTAATAGTCATAGTCATAGTCATTTTTATTCCATAGATGTCATTTGGCTGAAACGAACGAACGATTAGGATAATGTCCTAGTATTTTTTTTTGTTGATTGAGAATCATCTCAATTATGATTGATAAAACACACAACAGAAGGATCAAGACTATACTTAGCATTTGAGTTGAAATTACACAAATTACAATACCCATAACACTGCCTTCTCGTTTCGCCGACAAAATTTGCATAAAAGCAACTTTTGATTGCTCTTGAAGTATTTTTTTGCATATAAACACAAATAATAATGCAATTCGTTTGATAAGAGATCTAAATTTCTGAGTAGTCCTAAAAAGCAAACAATGAATTTATTTATCCTAAAACTAATAGAAACTTTGGTCACCCTGAGGCATAAAAAATACACATTCTTTCTTGCTATCCGGTTCCGGTGTCGATGTGACCAGTGTGCACTCTAATCCATATCTGTGAGTGTGCACTAGGTGTGCACTTCACTGTCTATGGTTGCACCACTCATTCACTCACACAGGGACAATCAATCAGTCAGTGAAGTTATATTTTATCTGTGGTTTTTAAATTTGCTAAACAAAAATGGTGTTTAGGTCCATTTTTTATTGTAAAATCTAAGTATTTTCACGATCTGAAGACAATTTTAATAATTTCTTCGCATTATAATATTCTTCGATTACTGTACCTTGAGGTAATAAACTATTGTCTTATAAAAATTACTGATGCGTCGCCATTTTCGCATTTTACTTACATCTAACCAAAATGAAACTTTTGGTAAGTTAGCTGTGACCACGTAAATAAATGTGATATTAATACGTGAATTGTAAGTGATTCGTTGACGATTCATTGTGTTGTGACTATCGAGTTTCACCATGATCAATTGCTTGGATGCGGAGGTTAGTTTTTTGGGTTTTTACTAAACTTTCATCTGTACTGAAACTTATGTTGTAAGTTCGTTTTAGTAATTTAGGCAATGACCGGCAATGAATATGTTATTACGACCAAAGTTTGTTAACTGTTTAGTGCCTACCCTCTTTTTATTTTATCATACTCAAACATGAATAAACCTGTTGAATGCTTATTTTGACTGTCAGCCAAGTTAAATTTATTTTTTTCTGTATCTAGTCCTAGGATGGAAAACTGTCAAGACAAGTTGTGACAGATCCTAATATCCATAAAATATTCCAGTGGGAATAGGAAAACTATTTCACCTTAGCTGCTATTCATATTCTTTCAGACACCTACCGAAACAGTGAAAATAAATGTTTACTCAGATTTATAACAATGATTTTGTGTGATAGATAAGTATTTCTACTTTCCTTACGTACCTACCTATTACAGCAGATAATTATTATGCATTGTGGATCATTTAAGAATGTATTGTAAACATTTGTTTACAGTTGTAAACGGGACATATTTTATAGTGTTTTATTAATTAAATCAGGTGTTCCTTGTCATTGAATATGTTACAAAGTAGGTAATTTGTAATACCCATTGACACCTTTACAATTACTAAAACAATCCACATTATTTTATTAGTAGAATTTTTATGATTTCAAGACAACCAAAATATTCTATGGCGCTTTATAATCAATGAAAACACCTATTTATTTTGTTATTCATTAATGAAAATGTATTTTAACAATAGTCATGTTGATGTATCATTAATACCACTTGATTAATTAAATATTTTTTAACATAAAAATGTTGTATGAATATCTATTTATATGAAATAGTTGTACCTCAAATGTAAGTGAAGAATAGGTAGTTCTGATAAGTCAGCATTGACATGTGAGTCACATGCTTCTTGTAAAAGGGAGTCATTTAGTCACACCTTATGATATATATTTTACCTGAAACTAAGCCCTAAGCTGTTTAATTTGTTCCTTGTGTAGGTATTCATAGTCTGTGGTAGGTTCCTGAAACATTGACTGAATAACACCTTTCTTTTTTTCAGGAATCGAGGAAGATAGTTTTTAACCCGTAGGCATGACGGAAAAGATTTTGTATCCAGGTAAGTCATTTGACCTCTATATTATACTTACTTTAGTTTTGTTCTTAGTTCATGGCAAACAAACAATATTTATAAAGATTCTTCAGACCTGCTATGGTCATGCTACGTTCGGTACCTATTGCCATCTGATTTATTTCATTCCCATACATTATATTCCTAATTTGAACAAATATTTCCATTCAAAATTATGGCATTTTTGTTCATAGACTTTGAATTTGAAAAAGATATTTTGAATAAATAATTTTATTAGTGGAAAAGAAAAACAAAACTATTCTTTTGTTGGTACCATTCTCTAAAACAAGTGAATGGAACATAGTACTATGGATTTTAGAAACTAAAATTATCTTGTACGTCGTCGCTTCGCGTCGCGTCGTTTGCCTTAGTATCTTTACGCCATATTTAAATCGCGGTTAACGCGCTTGTAAAATGATCTGTGGAGGTACTATATTTAATTTTGACTGCTATAAGTTTGCTTATTTTATCAAAAGAAAGAAGAACTATCCTAACTTTTAATTTAGTTATGAAAATGTTGGATAACATGTTGTTAATAATTTATGATCATGAATTTAAAACTAAAATATCTTATCAACTAAGGAATTGGGCACGTGTCCAGTAGGTAGGTACTGTACACGTTTTTGAAATAAATTTCTGTATTGTGTTACTTATTCAAGAGAAGCTCGCAACTTGTTCGCCTTGTTCAGATTCAAAGAGAGTTAAAGCTTTAGGACTTCATAAATGGTAATAATTTGATAGATGGGTCCTGGCCTGGATATTTGATATCACGTGTCCGTGACGTCACAGACAGCCGTCACCAGATCAATAAGGACTCGAGGTCATTTAAGTCGGGCTCGCCGATTTTGCCACGGTTGGTGAAGATTGGACGTCCCCCCCGCGCCTGTAAACCTACCTCTCACCTCTGTCTGATTAAGCGACGCAATAGTACCCTCTGCTTTTATTAAACTGCGTAGTTAAATCCAGAATGGATGCCTTTTGTAAAGGTCACATTGTATGTATCAAGCATTACATATTTACTGCCATCATCGTGTGGACTGAGATGAGACATCAACTGAAGTGTACGATTGAATACGAAAATAATAAAATCCAGCAAAGCGAAAGTTAGCTCTATTACCTATCTTAAATAACTGTGATCTGTTCATTTTTTAAATAGTTTATGATAACATTATGACCTGTAACCTATTTTCCAATAATGTTGCCATGAAATGAAATAAATGTAAATAAAATTGATTTAATGAAAACAAGTGGCTGAGTAATACCTAGGATAGGATCCTAAGTTTATAATCTTTTTAAGCGTTCATTTCATTATGGTTTAATTAGCTTTTTCGCCATCACTATGATCCTAAAAATAAGCATCTTCCATGTAGGCTATTTATTTATTTATTGATAATTAAAAAAATATGTTATTTAAATTGGCATCCGCATCTGGCTAGTTTCTCCTTTTATGTTCTTACTTTGCAAAAGGTCGCTCTTGAAGGTTAAAGCATAATAAACAGTTCGATAAAGTGATGCTTGGTATCCACGCGCGACGTGTGTCGCCTACGTGTAGGGTGACAACGTGTGCCCGTAACTAGTCAGGAGTACGAAATACCGCCCACTCCCTCTTTTTCATTACTACTGCAATTCAACTAGCTAGTGGCTGGGAATGATAAATAATGATCCGTTCA